AAATTAAGCCGGCTAGGCAGAATCTGGTAAGACCGGACTCTTTTCAAAATGTAGCTCTCTTCTTTGTGTTGAATTCCAGATTATTGATTTCAATTATTAATTCTTCATGGCATTGGACGAAAAAGTTAAGATTTATATTTCTTGTAACTCCTGTAGAAATCTTTTGTTTAAACTTTATATATGAGGATATATAATTCAAAAACTGTTAATACACAAATATTGTATACCGTGCTATTAATTTGATTTACTGAATTATTGCTATATATCTATCCATCTCAATCCTTGTCCCTAACATGGTGCCATAGTGGTAAATGAGCTTCAGTATCTCAGATCACACTCAAAAATACAATTTCGAAGCCAGTCTGAAATAATGCAACCGAATAAATAAGCCCCATGGCTTATATAAATATACACTGCAATTGTCATATTATTAATTGAGAGTATTAACAAGACGCCGAGGCAATTTTCGAAACATTTACTTTAAATTAAATGATCGCCTTGCTGGTAACAGTTTACATAAAATAGAAAAACCAACTGGATGAATCGTGTATTTGCTTGTCCGGGTAACATGATGGATGACTTGAATTAAAGAGGTGCACTTGAAGTCAGATAGGTGCCGAATGTTATGAATCTTATCCATAAAGACTGACGCAAATGCACTTTATTCGTCTTAATACATTTAACAGACGTCAACAGGCTGGTGAATAATTGTATAAAGTAAATACCATTCATATATGGGTAGTGGATGTAAAGTAAACAAAACAGTTGAGTTTGTATAAATACATACTTTATAGAATTCATTAGTTTGCGAAAAAAGTAAAATTTTGTTGCTAACTTGTTGTTATTGTTGCCAATAAATCGTTTTCTCCGAAGCTAATGGACCAATCGATCGATTCCAAAGGTACAGGGTTTTATCTGCGGCCGAGGATATGATACTGATGCAATGATGACACAATCTGAACTCAAGCTGTGAACGACCAGATGTGCAATTGCGCAATATATCTCACGCAAAGAGTTACGCACGAAACGTCGCATAAACGTTATCACGACAATGTCATCGTCGCCCTTTGCGTCGTTACGCAAACTTGGCGTCAAAATAGTTGATCAATTTTGTTCGCAAACCATTTGAATCGATAGTACAAATTCTGCAATAAAATGAGTTATGCGTATGTTAAGAAAGTCATCCGTATATCCTCCGTAAGGTAATTTTGTATACTTTTCAAAATTTTACTTATATTGATGATACATTTCTAAAAAATGTATTAAATATTACCCAAATACAAAAAAAATAGTAGATGGGGCTAAAAATAGGCTTACACATCTCCTCAAACATCTCGTGAAAATAATGCCAGTTAAAAATAAAAGACTAGATAAGCTTTTATATGACATATAACAGACCATCTGATATCTAATGGTTTGGAAGTTATTTTGATTTCAAATTAGAGATATTACAATTTTTTAACGCGTCAAATCGATGCGACGCCGTGGGAGGTCGAGGTGAGAGAGTAGCATCGTTCTGGGTATTCAGAGTTCAAGGAGTTAATTACTTATACCTCAAAAAATGTACACGAAGTTTTCTCAATTTTATAAATTTCATTTTCAATCAATACAATGTATTGAAGTAATTATTAAAATAATTATTCGTGTGAATTTTTTTTAGAAAAGATTCGGAAATACCAAATCCAAAGCTTTATCCAAACGAGTTATTTTGCGACAATCTGAGACAAGGCGTTAAATACATTCTCGGGATTGAATAAACAAATCGAATTTTTGCTGAAAAATAAGGAAGGTAATATTTATAATAAAAAGAGGTGTCGCAATATATGTATGTATATATAAAATATATAAAACGGAAAAATCATTAATTTTGTTTTAGGAGTGTCGCGACAAATTAAAAACTCCATTTTAGACGTGGCTAAATTGCAAAATTTCGCAATTTTCGATCGGATTTTAAAGCTGATCTATTTCATCATTTTTCATTAAATTACTGCTGGATCGCACATGGCTTCTTTCCTTTTGTGTGCCTTGAAAATAATCTTGAGCGACTCAAATTTAACAAATTACCGAAGTCGCAAAAATGTGAATTAATTCTTTTTATAATCGGGTAGTATATCATCTATTTGTTGTACGTAGATTGGAGTATTTCGGAGCAAAAATATTTTTATTTTATCGTAAGTAAGCGCAACGGCGAGCTACGTTGAAAATGATTAAATTAATATGAAAAAAATAATTGTTAATACTCGTATCGGCCATGGAGTATAATATATCTGGCATTTTAACGAATTATAACTGTTGATTGTTTCGTTTCTAACATCCTATTTGGTGAAAACGGGGTCATCAACTCAAAGAATGATCATTTGAAATTGTACCTTACTAAATGTCTTCAAATATGAAATAACCTTGTTAAAATTCATCCATCTTAATAAAAACATCATGCACCATAATTAGTGTCTATTCGTTTCATTAATTTGTTTGTCATGTTTTGTTGTAATGCTGGGGGCGACGATACAGAAAAGTTTGAGAATTACTGGTTTAGTTAACGAATATGATTCTACTGTTATTAACATGACAACAATTATATTGTTCGTTTCTAAAATTCATAATGGTCTTAAAAGTTTACAGTAATACTGTTAAAATCGCCAGTCGATAGATGTTCGAATGGTATTTTACCGTGACTTCAATACTGTTAAATTGCCAAACGTCGGTCGTTAGGAGTGTGTGCCAACCTAAAAATACTAACAACAGCAACAAAATAGCAAAAACATAATAACAAAACAATCCATAGCTCATCTTCGTTATCAATAAAGAATACTATACATCAGATTGCCAAGTAAGAATATAATATACAAAAACGCGTATAAGTGGCGCAAAATTCAATTGAGTATTTCAAATTATTTCCAGTTTCATGCCTAATACTCAGAGAAATGGTCTATTTTAATCCACAAAAACTTTTTCTGTGGAATATAGCAACACTCTATCTTTTCAGTAAACTCTGTGCTTAGTCGTGCATTGCTTTATTCTTCGAATAAACGGAGTTCATTTTGGCCAGTACATGTGGGAGTGAAGAATTATTGCTAATTTCAATACAATTTGCGACAGAAAACATTCAATCTCAGGAATACATTGGATATTAAAAATCACCTCGATAAGAATTGCAATAAAAAATCAAATATGCATGCAAATTCAATAACAGCATTTTCGTCATAGAAGATAAGAAATTTTGTTTGCTATGATGAATTTATGCAAAAACTTACGGCGAACCCGAATTGCATTTAAAATCCTGAAATATCACAGTTATACTGCAAGATACAAATAGTTACATGTGCTGAAATAGGTGATAAAAGGTCGACGTGGAAATCACGAATTATTGACAGAATGTAGTGCAAAGAAGAGACATCGTCAAGCAAGTTTGTATTATTTGTAAATTTCCCGAAAGAAGTTCATATCACCTGACAGGGAAAAAATTACCGAGGACTTGTCAGTAAGAAAACAATTTTCAAATAAATATATATCGAATTCTGAATTAAAATCTTCCGATTCGAATGATTATATAACATTTTCTTTTTTTTGATATTTCACTTAGATTGTGAAAGACTTCGGATCAGTTTCTGAGAAATGAAAGCTAAAGTTAAAACAAGAAAGCATTTATATGGACATGGAGGTAGAGCATCGGTACCGGTACAGTAAGCCTGGAAGAAGTGACCCAACATTTTTTTGTTCCATTTTATTTGGTGGGAACACTTTGGGCCTTCTTGTTCAATATCTGAAAATTGATCTCTTGCTAATCTTTAGTTGAAAGTTGGTCTAGTCTTCGAAATACATGGGTGTGCCATAGCATTCTTTTTACATTGCTCAATTTTGTTTTAACCCCCCTTTGTCCTGTTTGCTTTCAGTCTGTACCGGCAGCATCCAGAATAACATAAAGATCCTGAAAATCCTTAGTACAATGTGTCAATACTGGACCTTTAGTCTTTAATTATTTGTGATTACAATCATTGAAACTATGTGAAAATTTATAACCACGAGAGAAGAATTCAAAAATTATGTTTGTATCTATGGGCCCAAAAATAGTGGTGTGTGTTCGGCTGCTAGGTCTTTTGCACCAACTGGGATTTACAGTTCAAATGTATTGACTGCTGCGACAAGTGCGGTGTATGACATAAATTATTTATGTGCTTCTACAAAATTTACACTTCATATTTTTCGCATTGAGTTACATAGACGTACGCCATTCGCCAGACTCCCAGTATCGAGCCGATAAAAATAGCTAATTAGTACGCATGGGACAGACTGGATAGTAAATATATGGAACCCTATTTTGGAGAAGAGAGGGAGGCAAAAGTTTTGCTGCCTTTTCCGTTAGTTGGTGATTTTTTTGTGTATGTTTTATGATAGGGGTGTAATTTCACAAAAAGGAGGTTGTTCGAATAACTCTCGTCATAGAAATTCCATTAACAAGCCGGGACCTCTGCAGTGTATTACATTTTCTTGAATATATTTGAGAGAAGTGATAATCAGGCTGGTATTCTTGGTATCATGATTTTTCTGAGAACCGACTTGGAATTCATATTAAAAGGCTTATCAAAATTCTGATTAGCCTCCCTTCGCTAGAAAATGACCTTTGGATAGGTTCTCACGCGTACAGAAAAGGCACTGTGGCTATATTTAAGGTTCGACGTTGTTGAGCATTCGCACAACAAAACCAAAGACTAATGTGGGCCACGAGGTTGAATTAAGAGAGAGAATATTATAGACCAAATAGGTCCAAATATCAGCTGTGAAGCAGGTATTCTTGGAAATATTTTATGATACAACGACTGAAATCGATGTAGCTTTGAATCGCCTTGCCGTAAATTATAGTCGGGAATCGAATTGAGTATTGCAAGAGAATGAAAATAGTAACCATTCTATCTTATCCCAGGCCCGGTTGTGACGAAATAATTGTTTGATTACACCTTCATATTGAAAGTACTTTTCTAATAATAGAGTAATTTTGGTCGTGGTACGGTAGACGTCTACTCGGCAAGTAGTTTTCAAATGTTCCAGTTGTGTTCAGTTTATGTTTACTTTTAGTTAGGTTATAGTTTTGTTTCTTTGATTTGTACGCACCATGACTTACTCGACGAGGATATTCCTATTTGTCTGCTTATGTACCTTTCAAGGTGAGTTTATTATCAAATTTTCAAATTTTATTTCAAGTTAGCTAGCAAAGATTTTGGCATGAAGAATGTCCCCGAGACTTGACCTGGTTCGCAGCCAATCGCATAATTACTATCATTTTGTTAAAGGATTCGAAAACCTAATCTTTTATTTTAAACTTCAGTGCTTGCAACAGAAGAGCTTGTATTGTGGGATTGCCATAACGGTCAACAAATTGAAGAAATATACAAGTGCGACATGGTTACAGATTGCTGGGACGGTTCGGATGAATCGAGGGAAGTTTGTAAGTATTTGCTGATGATGAGTCGGCATTATTTCCGCGCGGTCTACTGCTAAAGATAGATTGGTACTTTAGCTGACGGGGAAGGAATTTACGAATATAATGGGTGGGCCAGACGCAGGATTAATGATAATATCTGATTAATAATAATAACAATCGGCTATATATATATTTCCCGGTTTATCAGAAAGGTGATAAATATTATGGTATGTTTAGGTAATTCTACCTGTTCGGCCGAAGAGTTCGCTTGCAAGACGAAAAACGAATGCGTTGCACCGGAGAATGTTTGTGATAAATTCGATGATTGTACAGACGCCAGCGACGAAGCCTTTGAATTGTGCGCTGTAAGTGAGCATGGAATAGATCTATCTAATAATTTTTATGAACTTGTTCCACATGGTTCAACAAGACCACGAATGTCAGTTTTTGGACACGTCAGTGGACGTAACGATCGTTTCAGTATTGTGTTCTTGTCCTTGTTCTTTGATACGTTTTTATAAAGTCGCTTTTCTCATTGATTACTGGACCAATTGCTCTGAAATTTTCAGTGGTTGAAGATAAAAAAAATTCTAGAACGGTGTTACTTTCATTTATTTCAAACGTGTCCATATATTTGAGCACCGCTCTCTTGTTTATAGTCTTTTTTTTAGCACAGCGTCATTCGAAAAATATATTTTTATGGTCCTGACATTTCTAACACATAAATCTTCGAAAATAAGTACCTTGAATTCACGCCCTCATAATGATGAACCCTGCATAATACTTGGATAAACCGCTCGCCTTGACTAACTGAATTTGAATATTTCAGCCGGTTGCAACTACCGAACCTCCTGACTACGGTTTATGTCCCGAGTCGGATTTTGGATGTTTGGACGGATCGAGATGTGTGAGCAAACGATTTGTTTGTGACAATCACCCGGATTGTGCTGATGGTTCAGATGAAAACAACTGCGAGAATGCCGAAATCGGTTAGATAAAGCTTAGTGATTCTCTACATCTTATAATAAAAACTTTGCCCAATCCACCACGGTGCATAACATTTGGTACAATATTTTGTGGTACTATATTGCATACCTAGAACGGGTTAAAGTTAAATTGGGGTTTGTAAAGCCGTTCAACTGGACCATTAAGTGAGGTGAATCGTTTTAACCAACGAGTGTTATTGTACCCAAGTTGTGGGAATCAAACGTCCCATGGGATGGGGACGGCACACATTTGTATTTCCCATGGGAAACTAAAACCGTATGATTTTGGGGGAAATATTGGTAAAACATTTCGTTATGGTTTTTGTGTCCATATATTTTGAGCACAGCTCTCTTGTTGGGTATGAAGACCCAAATATATTCTGCATTAACAATATGAAGGGATGATGGACATATGTATAGTAGTTATGGATATAAAGGTAACATAGTCCTTTAATTTTGTTTGCATGTCTATTCGTACATGTATAGTTCTATTTAGTAGACGTTAAACCTAAATTTAACAATTATTTGATCTTATAAATTTAACATTTGATCTTTTGCTTGATCGACCTAATGTCTCAAATCAGTTGCGCAAAAGAATTACTCGCGTTAAAAATATTTTAATCTTGTTTCAATCTCCTTCAGATGTTGTCGTCGATCCATCTCCGTCGCCGACTACCAAGCCACCAATCAACATTTCGAAGAAATGCAACAAGAAGCCTTTTCTTACCAAATGCAAGCCTTTCTGGCCAGCTCTTGCAATGAATCTGAAAGAAAAACTAGTCAAAAAATGCATCAAGAAGCCAAACTCAAAACGATGTATCAAGTACGCTGGTTTATTAGCATTACGCGGACCACCTGCTCCCAAGAAACGAAGGAATAAAAATAAGGCGAAGCTGGCTAAGAAATGCAAAAAAAATCCGAAACGAAAAGGCTGTGACGGACTTCAGGAGTTGAATTAGAATCTGATTGTTCCATCTACAATTGTTATTTGAATCATATTACTTGTGTTGTCGAAAACATGTATCGTAATACAATATTGTAATTTTTGTTGATTTTTGCCTGGTTTCTTTGAGTTAGACAGCGTGTTACAACAAGAGTTTTGTCGTTTCAGGGCTGTTCATTGAAGGTTACATTTGACGGTCGTGGTGTTACCCATATCAATGCGTTCTGATTGCGGTAATGCAGTAAATGTGGTTCGCCTCTTAAGTCGATCTTAATACATGGGCAATATAGTCATCTAGGGAGCGATGAAATAACGCGACCGTATACATGACTTCACTGACGGATCCTGGGTAAGCTTCTCTGTGAATATGTTGGGAATGCTTGAAACTTATAAAGAGATTCAGGCCCTGTTGTGATGTAATAATTATTTGATTATACCTTTATATTTGAAGTACAGTACTTTGTAATTTTGGTCGTTGTTAGGTAGGAACTCTCCGCGTGTTATTAAGTTCGCAAATATTTCTCTTGAGTTCAGTTTGTTTACTTTTAGTTGGGTTGTAGTTTTGTTACTTTGATTTATACAAACCATGATTTACTCAAAGTTATTCCTTCTTGCCTGCTTGTGTTTCTTTCAAGGTGAGTAGATGGTTAGTGTTATTTCGTCCTCAATTTAACTTAAAGGCCAGCCAACATTTTAGCAATTGCGACGAAATTATTCTAGTCTGTCACATTTGATTGGCTGTACCCGAGACTTAACCTAATACAAAGCGAAAGTGTTGGCATCAGTAAACAAGAGAGTTATGCTCAAATATATGTACACGTTTGAAGTAAATGAAGGTAATAGCTGCCTAAAATTTTTGTTTATCTTTGAGCACTGAAAATTTGAGAGCAATTGGTCCAGTAATGAAAGAGAAAAGCGACTTTTTGGGTTTAGGTAAAAAGTGGGCGTGGCTTTCCACACGTTTTCTCGCCTCTGAGGGGGCGGAGGCACTGTCCCCTCCCCAATGCAACTTGAAAAATTCCCAATACTCGGGCAAACGCTTTCCCGCCCCGAGACGGAATTTAACGGCCTCTTAACGCCAAAATCACTCTAGCGTGGATGGCTTGATTGGCAGATAGCCTATTCCGGGCCACTAAAAAGGCTGTTTTGATTCACATCCCTTTGCCCGATCGTTCTGAATTTTTTTTTTGTTAGTTTGGTAACACTTCCAGGGTTCACACTAAATTTCGTCCAGATCGGCCCGCCAGTTATCTGGGAAGTGGTCAATCTCACAGGGCTGTGGCTTAGTCTTTAGCTATTGCACTTGCGACTTACGCGCAAAGATTTTTGATCTATACTGTACTACTCAACTACTTCCTACAAGTATATCAAAAGCAAGCGAAGCAGTACTGCAGTAGTTCACCTTACCTTTAGCATTGCGGTACCGGTAACCTCAAGAAAGTTTCGAGTTTTGAGTAGCGAGAATTTTCGAAATCGGTCGTCACGCTTGGCGGATTAAAATCCGTGTTTCCATGATTAAAAAGTGGTACAGCGAAATTGTGGATGAAATATCAGATCTCATACCATTCATAGAAAATTTAGGAATAAATAAAAGTAATAGCCTTCTGGAAAAAAATTAAACTTTAACCACTGAAAATTCCAAAGCAATTGGTCCAGTATTCGAAAATAAAGGCGATTTTATAATGATGGTGACGAAGAAGAATAACAATAACAACAACATAATATTGAAACGATCGTTATGTACACTTCCGTGTCAAATAATTCAAAATCCTAATCTTTTTGTTCAAATTTTAGTGCTTGCAACAGAAGAGATTGTAACGTGGGAATGTCACAACGGCCAAAAAATAGAAAAGCATACAAATGCAACAGGATATCAGATTGCTGGGACGGGTCCGATGAATTGAGAGAAGTTTGTAAGTGTTTGTGAATTACAATTCAGCATTGCTGATAGTTGCCATTTTCTATGGTTTGAAGGGAGGTTGAAACTATGTGATAGGAATTTACGGGCGCAAATGGTGGGCCAAAAGCAGGGTTAATGTTATTGATATATATTTAATTAATAATAACTAGCACAGAATAACGGCCATATCAGGAAGATGATAAATGTTATGGTATGTTCAGGTAATTCGAAATGCTCGGTCGAAGAATTCGCTTGCAAGACGAAAAACGAATGCGTTGCACCGGAGAATGTTTGTGATAAATTTGATGATTGTACAGACGCCAGCGACGAAGCCTTCGATTTGTGCGGTGTAAGTGAGCGTAAAATAAAGCGTAAATCTTTCATTGCTTATATTAACTTGCTCTACGTAGTCCAACAAGACCAGGGAGGCCAGTTTTCGATAGTCTTTTTTTAATACAGCGCCACTTGAGTTTTCTTCCTACTGCAGAGTAAGCAGACAATAGAGCGACGAATGAACAAATTTTATGGGCTTGACATTTTTAAGACTTAAGTCAATCGTCGAGTATCCGATATGGTCCTCAAATTCACGCCGTTAATACGCTGAACCCTGTAAGAGCTTGGATAAATCGCTCGCTTTTTAACTCACTGAATTTGAATATTTCAGCCCGTTGCAACCACCGAACCTCCTAACTACGGATTATGTCCCGAGTCGGATTTTGAATGTTTGGACGGATTGAGATGCGTGAGCAAAACATTTGTTTGTGACAATTTCCCAAATTGTGCCGATGGTTCAGATGAAAGTGACTGCGAAAATGCCGATAACTGTGAGTGAGGGTTATTTTACAAGTCTGTATAAAAATGATTATGTTTTAAACCAGGGGTGTGCAACCTTTAATACATGAAGGCCAGGTACAAATAACTGGGTAAAACCGTGGGCCACATCTTTTTTCAACATAGGCTTTATAGTAGTTGCAAAAACAAAAAAAAATTGGTTATTGATCCTTTGACATGCGTTGTTCACTTCGCACAAGATAGCTGTTAGGGCATTGTAACGTCATATACATAGATGAAAAAAAAATCGCTAACAATGCAAGTCGCAAAGGGATTGTAATCACTCGCACATACCAGATTAAACTCAATTAAAAACTCGTTTTGCGGGCGCACATTATTCGAAATTGGCACTTCTCTGCGGGCCGCACAATTTTTCTTTGCGGGTTGCAGGTTGTACACCCTTGTTTTAAACCATTGAGTGTTATCAGATCTTAATCCTTGTGGCTGTTTTTTTGTTACAGATAATTGAATAATATAAATAGTTTATAATATATAATAATTTTATAAAATTGAATCTTTTGCTTGTTCAGCATAATGTCTCGAATAGGATGCACGAAGAAATTACTCGCGTTAAAATATTTCAATCTTGTTCATATTTCAGATGTTGTCGTTGGTCCATCTGAGCCACCAACCACCAGTGAGAATTCCCAAGAAATGCTCCAAGAGGCCTTTTCTTACCAAATGCCAGCTCTTCTGGCCAACTCTTATAGTGGATCTAAATAAAAAACTAGACAAAAAATGCTTCAAGAAGCCAAACTCGAAACGATGTACCAAGTACCTTCGTTTCTTAAAATCAGTATTGCACGGACGACCTTATCCCAAGAAACGAAGGGATAAAAATAAGGCAAAGCTTACTAGGAAATGCAAAACGAATCCAAGATAAAAAGGTTGTAATGGACTTCAAGTGTTAAATTAAAACGAATGTAATACTTCAAGCATAGCTATATCAAAGTGTTCCATCTACAATTGTAATTTGAACCATATCACTCGTATTGTTGAAAACTTTTCTTGTAATACAATATTGTAATGTTGGTCTCTTTTGGTATAATTTCCTTGGACAACTGGTTGCACAGTTTTTTGTTGTAACATTGCGAGACTGCTGCACATAGCCAAATTCCATGAAAGATATAGCTTCTTGTTCTGGTTTTGCGGGGGAAAATCTGCGTCCAAATAAGGAATAAGCCATCCGACACGAAGAGATTCCATCCGGCGGTTCTTTACATTTCTCTGTATTAGTACGTCTGATTGCAGTAAATATGGTTCGTCTTCCCCAGACAGTCTTCAAGGTTAAAGCAAGCACAATTGAACTGTGTATGAATACCGCTGAGATTGAACCTGTTTGCGACGTGTCAGCACTATAGCTTTTTGAACAGCTAACGTAAGACCGCAGGTATCTATCCTTACTGACCCCTAGCAAGCTTTTTTTCAGTATAAGCACGCTCTGAGCTTGAAAAAACCGTGAAAATTTCTAACACTTGGTAAAAAAAACACTACTTGGGTCCCTAATCCAGTGACTGGATTCAGGGCGTTCGATGAGACCCGTTCCTGAAATTCGTGAGCGAGATTCAAATCTCATTATCGGTTATGACGTAACAGTGCGCATGTCTTTATTCAGCTGTTAAGCAGTGTTAATTGCGGTTTACTCGTAATATTCTAGAAGGTGATATTCTAGCTGGAGACTTCTAAATTTTTCTTGAACATTACGCTTTTCCAATACGCGACCACTCCTATCTGCTATTTCATGTAAATTTCATGACGTTTCCCGTATAGGTTTGAAGTATAGAAGTCGGCTTTGTTTCTATGATCTCGGGAAATGTATATTTATGAATATATATACCACTCCACAAAAAGTTTACGAATATGGGTATATTTCGATGAACTATAATCGAGGCAAAATGAAATAGGAAACAAAGTTTCAGTGGATCCGGTGTAAATCGGGAAAAATAGAAATCCAAATACAGCAAATATAAATTAAATAAAACAGCATATTTGAGATTTCAAATTTAGGCTTTTAATGAATTACAGGGTCATCTTTGCTCTACCGAGGGTAAATATATACAAGTGAAAATCTGCAGCAAATTTCCAAATTTTTGCTGTCAATTCAAGGACCCTGTTTCGAACAAATATTTTTCATTTGACAGCGTGTGTAAATACTCCATCATTATTAGCTTAATTTCAAATCAGCGAGTTTCAACAATGCATCGTTCTAAGGGTGATCACAATATTTATGAAAAAAGACTATAATATAATTATATTATAAAATTACATTTTATCCTCTCCCACTTTTTTTCTATGGGGCTAACCCACTATTTTACTATAACGAGGTATGAGTGTGGTTCATGACTGCCAATGTAAGAATTTGCTTCAGAAAGTACTGAAAAATCAGTAAGATTTTTGAAAGAAATATTCTTCTTCATCAAATATTATGTCGATCCGGTAATATTCGATATTTCCAAAAATTTATACCTCCTTCCGATAAACAAGAAGAAGCTATTAACAAGAACAACAACAACATAATAACAAAGCGATCCATATGTATATTTCGTTTGCAATAACTTGTGACATGTGGTATTGCTCGATGGTATTGCCCTTTTTCTTTTATAAGTTTTATAGGGATATGATTCAAAAATTAATCAAAATAGAAACAAAAAATCAACTGTACAGATAAAATAATGAAAAAAATTAATATCTTCTTCCATTATTCTCATACGAAAAGTGGCGCGGACGTCCCGGTAGTTCATTTTCGTAAATCGGGGTATTCGGTCCTGTAATAAAAATACATTCTAAATATGAATTTTCCTGAAGAAAACATATAAACTTATTGTGAGAATCGTTAACGAAATTTGATTTTATTCGCTCCTTCTACAGATAGTATAACGGCCTAGTGCAAATTTTTTCGTAGGCTACATTTCATTTAATGTGAGTTTTATTGACAGACATTTTCTCTGATTAAATTGAAATAACTTTGAGTCTCGTGTTAGTCAATATAAGTTAGCGACTTCAACTGGTTCTTGGTTATTTTGATTCTGCTTTGGGCACTCATCTTATGATTACATCGGTGTCTCAAAATGTCGTATAACATTTGTGCGAAACTTTTTCTATATTTTTCACATTCATACCACTTGTGCCATATGTACCACTGTTCTATAGAACTTTCGGCAAGTAGTTTAGCGTACGAGGTATGGGGGCTATAATACAAGTGGCGCAAGAAGGACATGCGATGCATTTTTGTGACGCTGATTCTCCAGTCATAAACTATACCTCCTTAGAGTAAGCGTTCAATCAATCTTACCTGGAAAGAGTCGTTGTTCATATAAATGCGAGGGTGTTTCAATGGCGACAGAGAGACGACGATATTTATTATTACTTCTAGTTTCGAAATAAGCAATCATAGACTCAAGTGAGTCCAGTCTTGGATGTTTTTCATTTACTAGCTGTATCTGATATTCACCGAGTTGGCGATTGTATTTCACCTTGAAATGTTTGAATCTGTAAGGGAAAAAATTATAATTGAATAATGTGGCGTCAGTTTTTTTCTTGACAATTATAGTTAGCAAATTCTTCTCTTGTCGAAATGAGTAAGTCATTTTTCATTAACGACAAAATCCATTATTTTCTCCGAAGCAGAACGTTTATTTAATCTCTGGTAGCTCGATTGATTTATTATGTTTATATATCTGATAAGAAAACCGCACAAAAACTTAAGTATTCTTTATCACAGTTGGACGTGATTTTATCGGTAAAATCAGTTACTTTTACATTTAAACACATTCATAATAAAAAAATCTCACGGGTTACTGTCAGCAACAGTTTTAGTCGAGATTGCAAAATCGTATTCATCTGCAGTATTATCAAGTTGTCGTCGACGAATCAGCATGTTTCCAGCACCAGTATTTTCGTTCAATATTTGCTCAGCATCATGTCGAGCGTAGATATTTGGATAATACCATCTGTCAATAATAACGTAAAAAGGGTTACAATTACAACCCAACCTGTTACGAAATATAGTTTATACAAATTCTTGGAACAGTGGTTAACAACCCATAGTCCGCTGGTTACCCACGGATCCAGAGAAAATATTTTAGATGTTTGAGAGCAGAAAATGTAAACAAATGGCAAAAATGAAAGTCATTGTGATTCAGCTGTAACAAATCAACTGTATTAGCAGGGTAACACTAGATCCCATTTATATAAACAAACATGTTCATTTTCTTCAAGTTTTTCGATCTGCCAGTTAATCCAATATTTTAAATTTAGACATGCATATATTAGTATTAAGCTGTTTTATTCATATTAGTCCACATATTGCAGGCAAAGCCCTAAGAAGTAAATTTGACTGACTATATATCGCATAGTAACAAAATAATCTAAAGATCAAATACTCACGGATATGTTTCTTCTCCGATAAGCTGCAAAAGAAAATAGATAGATATATTAAAATAAAACGTCTAATATTGGAAGGTTGTGTGACAACTTTTGTATTAATTCTACATCAAATGTGTTTGAGACCTGCTTTTCTCGTGATCTGTTCGAACCGAAGCTTAAAAATTATTTTAGTAACAGAGGTAAATTTTTGTCTCCAAACAAGGCCTTACAAGCTTACATATATACATATTTTATCAAGTGTTTCACAATTTTGCTCTGGAAAGAGCTGTTGAGACGAATAGTGTCACAATAGTGTTTGGTTTAAAATATAAGATAGTCAGTATATCAGAGCTAATGCTTACTAAATCGACTGAATGTGTATTGAAAAGCTTATTAAGTTTGTGTGAATAACTGTTTGAATTGTATACATCGACATTTTTTTTAAATCATCTTTGTTTATTTGAAGTTACTTCATGTTTATCCTTGCACTTTGGTAATGATGTGGAAATCGCGTGTATTAGGTTTACTTATCGTATCAAAACATTTCTGTATATTTACCCCGTTTACGGGATCCATCGGGGTATAATCGGGTGTTTGACTTCCATTTCCTTCTGTCGTCTGTCTTCGCTGGTTTTCTTGCCTTTCCTGTTCCAATCGTTGCTTTTCGGTGTTTTCTTCCTAGAATTTTTGAAATGGGCTTTTAATTGATACTTGTGCCAATCAGAATTAATATTCCCGTATCAAGGTCCAGGGGTGGCCAGGTGATTAGTTTCATGTTTCCATGATTAGAACTGTGGCTAAAATTAATAACGCAGAATGTATGTCAGTTACTGAGTTTATACTATAACATCATTATTCATTTAATGAGACAGGGTTACTCGACTATTTTTTTTACCAAAGATTCGTTTATAAAACCTGAAAATTACCGGATTCCGGTATTTCACATATATGTCGCCTAATTAAAGACCAATCAACAGAAAACAGTTTGTTAAAAACTGAGCAACCGCAAAAAGTCGACAATGATTCTCATCGGACAAGCTCAACGCACATTGCAGTTCCATGTCCAGCATAATACAGTAATCATGACAGTGTTGCCGAATTGTATTGCCGCCTTGATTCTCTTGGTATATATTTTTAAATGCCTATATGATCAAAAGATAGATCAAGAATAAAGAAACAGACACGGTCCGAATCCAATACTCAAAAGGGTTGAATTAGGGCCACGGTCCACTAGCTGATTATTCCTGTACTATGATTTTGACTTACATTTTCAATAATATCTTTTATTTCGTGTATTTGTCCCGGAAGTAAATTTTCCGTCTTCTGTGGAAGTTTACTCTGAATTATCATAAATAATGTTATATGTTATTATTAGTTTCAGAAATATAAGAAAAAAAATCACTTTTTTGAATTTTTATACTTCTTGACTTGCACGATAGCCCTTCTAATGTATTGAATAACTTACCAAACCAGCAGCGCGAATATATCTTTCCCAAACGGCTCTGTCATCAAAATATTGAAACCTCATTTTGATTTCAGGTTGATGCCTGTGGTTAAGAAAAAGGGAATAAATTTGATTGATAATCTCGCGGAGAAAATTGTTTAAAATGTCATCTGTTATATAATTTTTTTTTATTGCAATGATTCAAATTTACCACAAAAATGAAATTTATATTATTCGAAATTTTACTTGAACTTGAGTATAATGAGATATTCTGCATTTGCTGCTCTTCGATCGCTCCTCATATCAACGTCAGTCAAATATCTGAGATCAACTTGAAATTGACACTAAAAAGAAAAAGAAAACTGTTTACTTGAATTCAAATTTTTTATAGGTGATTCGTAAGAATTGACACCTCTATCAAAAAATTCAACGAAATATGTAATTTAAAACATTATTATACGTTTGGATTTATTCAAGTTAATATTCTGCGTCTTCCATAATCTATGCTTGCAATAATTTGCATCGAATAGCGGCAATCGAATCGCGTACCATGACCTAAATGAGGTTTGACATGAACAATTGACTTATTGGCATCCGGAGTCAGATATCAAACTTATAAAACTGTATAAAACGCTCATATGAAAGTTGAAATACTCCTAGAAAGTTTAGAAAGCTCATTCCAAATTCTCATTTTTATTCGATGTTTTCACGATTTCACCCCGAATAAAGCTCCGTAAATGCACCCACCGATATGTAAGAAACTGCGATTCTTGTGAAACCAGAGTAAGTTGGTGGACTTGGGTTTGAACCCGAGATATTTAACCCACTGCGCCAATCAAAGTAGTAAAACATTGCTTTTCCAACCTTTTGGTGTAGCGGAAACCCAATTGTACATTCCTAGGCTAGGGCAGTAGTCGCCAAATTTTTTTAGGTGGGGCCCAAATAGTATAATGAAAAAGATTTCAATTGCGTTAGTATTTCAAATTTAACCACGTAATAAACTTCATTAAGGGACATTGAAATTGTAATTAAAACCAGTGAAACGTACCGGTACACATGGCGGTACAAAGATTGAACAACCGAACGTAACGGTACACGTCCGTTAGCTTGTCCAATTTTGATGGTGTAATGTAATGAAATAACCGTATACGCAAGAATGAACATACTAAAATAGTTGCAATGCCGGCACTGTAAATGAAAAATGAAATAAACTTAAAACGAGAATATCGGTCAGAGACCGACGACTTATCGATCGAAAGTTACAGGATCCCCCAAAACAGCGCTCTTACTCGATAGTGACACCTTGTGTCCCATCACTAATTAATTAATAACTCAGATTCAATCTCGCTTTCGTGAGATATCGCGTGCATCTAACAGACAGACAGACAAATACCTATCAACATACTTACCGATTAAAATCGATAAGTAATGAACGTAATGTATGATAGTTTGATATATGAACAAAAAACATTTAACAAAATATTTGGATTTGTAGTACTTTTTTGTGTATCTCTGCCCATAATTGAAATTTATTAGAGGGCCACAGTTTGCCTACAAGTACCACTGCGCCATATAAACCTTTGTGTAAAGGCCTAATTATTTTTTATCGTCCGAATTATTTAAACTGTAAATTTATATAAAAGCAAATATAATACTGACAAAACAAAATGATCTTGGGAGTGCAGAAAGTTTAATAATAGTGGCTAACCCATTATACAGTATTTAATTAAAGATTATACTTAAACAGTAGCGGTACCCTAGACTGAATTGACGGAACCCCGATTGAAAAGCAATGTCGTAGAAGATGGAATACTCACGTTTGAAACAGCCCCAGGTCCAGTTCTTGTTTCATTCTGGTAAAATCGGAGTTCTTTTCCGGACATAAGCTGTGCATACAGTCGACAGTATGTCTGAAAACAAAACAAATAGTCGTTCAGAAAACCTTGAACTGAACTGTAAAATGTCCCTTAAAGGTCATTCATTTTACAACACAAAATAATATATTTCCTGCTATGTAGTTTATGAGATATATATTTCTAATTGTAGGTGTTATAGTACAATACATATATCAGAATACGGGACAAATAAAACCGAGTACTGCGACCACAAACAAATAGTGTTAATTTTATAATACGGCCCACGCGATGCTGTATGTTACATTCTCTAAAGTCAATTCTATTTTAATATAACACATCACGATTTTATGCTGAAATCCCGTGATTTTGATAAATACGAACAAAAGGAATGCAAAACGGGGTCGAGAAAGTTCATGATATGGGTGTCAATGTTCTTGCACAGCTTTGGTTGGAGCAGCTAGAGATACACAAGACGATTCCAGCCTTAATTGTCAAAACATTCACTCATAACTAACCATATATTTCGCTGATTTCAATAATTTTTCTAGGCCCGCAGAATAACGTGATTTTTGAAAAAATCGCTTAATTATTTGAAGTTGTGGATTCGATAAAGAGCTTGGAGTTCTTTACAAATCTGGTAAATATTTTGGGGTAGTCCCGTAGTGTGTGTTGTGTACCACGTTAGGGTGAAGATTTCCGATTTCTCTTATTTTAGTTCTATTACAAGTTCGGGGACTGTCTGTGTTAGCCAAGTGAATATACCTCATGTCCATAGGTTTCAGTCCCTTTACACAACTTGATGTAAAATAGACGAATAAAATTAGTCACCTACATATTGGTACACACACTTTTGGAGCGTCTACTTTCAAATTTCATTCATTAGCAGTGGCAGCTACCGGCAAAGTTGCTAAAATCTAATTTGTAAACTCCCTTGAACGAAGTTTACGTACCGATTACATGTCTGTACATGGTTTTCCACGAACTACGATCTACCATTTCGCGTTATATACGAACGAGTTACATTCAGGGCAGATACAAGTGGGTTGTGTTGTTTTGTAACGTATCAAGATATAAATATGCACAACAGACATTCCACTTATTTGTAGTTTATCAATTTGACGTCTATTCGATTGTAATATATCACGGGAGACAAACAATATAAGAAGTAGATTTGGGTCCGTGAATGGCGGTACCGAGTCGTATAAGATATATTGAACGTGGAGTCACCTTGTTTAATATATACCGTATGTATAAATCGATATGGCTAATGCTGATCGCGTAGTTATATTAATATTGGCAGAATAGTATATTCAGTAAATTATTAACACGATGCCAAATATTGAAATAAATTATCAAATTTCGCACAAGGAATGGCCATTGCATTTATAGCGGATAAGACGCCATCCATTTAATACAATCTGCTCCATCGCAATGCGTTTGGCAATTATTCTGAATAGCGACGAATGAACTAAAATTATGTTCAATTCTCAGATGCAAATTGGATTACTGAATTAATTTCAGAGATCTGCTATCAGACATTGTTATCATGAAACACTTTCGTGATTATCGCAATATATCATCAGGTAATATTAAGGGGAAAGAATTATGGATTAAATATTGGAAGGGTTAAAAAATGAAGAATGCGAGATACGCATTTTACAACTCTTTAGTTTAGTGAAATGCATGAACGTGCTAACGCAATACTCGTCTGAACAATTGATCACAAGTTGACCTAATCTCAAACACCATTGCGCAACCGCATACATTATAATTCATTTAGCCATCATTTAACCTAAATTTGACAGTAAGTGAACCGTTTCGGTGCATTGTTGAGAGTGAGAACGAGGGAAAACATAGAAACATAAAGTATATAGGTATTCTATCAATTTCAATAATATTCTATTATGGAAAATTGATATTTTAGTACCGTATATTCAACTGAAATCGGATCCTCAAACTTCTCCAGTGCGAGTGGAAAAGCACCGAAAGTGAAAATGAGCTCTCTGATGCGTGACGTCACGGACGATAATCGCAAATGATGATTCCGATGATTTTTGAAGGTGACCAGGACAAAATTTTAAGCCATTATTATTGTTTGGGCTCTATGGGTAAAATACATACTGTTTCGCCTAGGTTTTTATCCATGATTTGTTCAGAAGTAACAGTGGTAAGTAATTCACAGTAACATGATACCAATGCTCACAATAATGGACATAAAGGTCAAATGTTGAAACAGTGTTCCATGCATTTAAATAAAACAAGCAAAAACGTTGGGGAAATATCGTTCCAGTAGTACACCTTGTAGTGGAAATTCTAGAATACCAACAAATAAAACAAAAAATCCTGAAAATTTATGGACACAAAAGTCGAATATTAAGATACTTTTACCATGAATTCAAATAAAACAGCTAAATTTTGGGCGAAGTGTCGGGCGCCGTAGGCCTAACAAATAAAAGCAATAATCATCTGCAGATTTTTTTTACATTCAACTACTTAAAAATAAAATCGGTTTGCCCATTAGTTTCGAAAAAGGAGAAATGGCTTATATTTTTATAGCGTTACGCCTAAAGTATCAAACCTTTCACACAACTAATCATTTCATACGCATCAGAGCTGAAAGTACATTTGAAAACTGGCAACCATGAAATGAAATATTTCGCTACACAAAGGGTGACATATTTGTTTCTTTTGACGACGTGCAGATAATGAAAGTGTTTTGCAATGAAGCACGACTTTCAATGTTAAACATTAATCGACTGTTAAAGTTTAAAACACAGCGATGACTATAAGCGCGAAATCGTACATGGAACGCAATTGAAAGCTTGACTTTTCCACGAGTCATACTTGATTGGTACGAATGTGCCTTGACTGTATCTTTTAACATTCTTATAATATTACACCTTGCACCAAATGTTGGTTTTAATTTTTTTCTCGTTACGAAATTTTACTTTTACTCTGAAAAAAATCTTTGTTTAAGCAGTTGTCAAAAAGTAGGGGGATTCTGAAAAGGATTCCTGGATGCGCTTGTAATTTTGGTATATTTTACCCAATTTTCACACTCTTTGAGTGAAATACTAAGCTTGAACATAACAATAAATTTTCGGAAACTGATACTTTTATGTCAACATAATCAACAAATTTCAAAAAGTAGTGAAGTTTGCATAAAAAATAATGTAAATTTTACTAACATGTCCCTGTTTAACGTTCATCCATCCTTGGTGATAGGTTCTGACGCTATGCCTCCTAGCTTGAGTACTCATGTTGCATTATATTAGTAAGCTTAACAATTTTAAATTAAATCCTGCAAACTGAAAATAGAATCAATACACTTTACGTTTATGGCAATACAAAACATTAAACGAGCTTATAATATTATAGATAGTTATATTATGTCTAATAACAAATTCAATATATATATAACAGCAAGTCCTTTTATCGAACATAAATTAGTTTTCAATGCGCCAGAATATGAAACGGCACGAAGGTTTTGACTCGTTTATAAAATATAGCATTGTCTAGAAATTAAATATCCATTCCAACTTATCCATTCTAAGCTGATACTTTTTAAATACGTATATAACCATTAAAATACTGAGTGATTGTTACCAGTTTTATTTTTAGTATTGCATGCACAGCTGGACAAAAGCCAACTGCATAATTTAGCTAAAATTATCGTTTGCTTTTTTGCTGAATACGTTGCCGAACCCGTAGATAAACGACTATATTTTTGTGTCTGAACAATTTCTATATACTGTATTACATTCCAAGTCTTCTTACAGTTCGTCATCTATAGAATTAATTTAAAATGAACTCCGAATTGTTGGCTGGAATGCTATGTCTAAAACGATTCTATAGTATCGAGTTATCAACGATTCCCATTTGGTGAACCCCACATAAAATAGAGGAAGAGTTTATATTACCATACTATAATATGGGTAACTGATATCATTACACGTCGTACTTTATAGTTTACATGATATACACACATTACCTTACATGTTTCAAGACCTGTGTTATATTTAGCAACTACTAAGGTGAGTGGAAATATACGTCTGTGAAGAGGAAGTTTGTGTTGAGAAATCAGGTTTAAAATAAGTTTGAAACAATTTCTCCCAACCGTCCCCATCGTCGTAAAAGGCTACGGATTGTTAGGATAGGGCATAAGCTATACGGGTATGTTCCTGTTTTATAGATTTCTACCTCAACTTCAGATTGTTGGGGCTATGCTCATATCAGTTATTTTAATACCCTTCATCTAACACCGGCAGTTAAAACAAGAATGATTTTTATCTGAAAGTTCACAGCCTAGTGCTCAGTAACTAACGGCACTGTCTTCGTCGTTATTCTAATCTTCGTACATATTTGACAATGTTAGGTTGAGCCCAACAATTGCGAATTGTGTTGTTACGTATCTGATTTTTTAATTTAGACGATAAAGTGAATATCCTTCAGCTTCATTGTCGGATGAAAAAACCCGATAATTTCATATACACAATCCTAAAGCAGTCAAACACATCAAAGTCCTACATCTAGCTAATGGTTGTTGAGCAACAATACGGCAAAGTGAAACTAGCATTGAATACACATGACCCTATATATTTATTGAGCGTTGGTTTCTCGGTAAAGTAATTAAAACCTCGCATAAAAGTTAATTGCTTTTCGGGGTATATAATCTGATTATATAACATTAAATACTGACATATCCTCCCTGGGACGCTTCAGTGAAACGTCGTACATGGTAACCTAAAATTGAGCGATCGGAACATATTCGACCTTTTTCACTAACCCACGCTGAATATAAACACCGGAGACCGATACTTCTAAATTTAAAAAAAATGCTGGTTATTTTCAAGTATATATATATCGTGCTGGCTAATGTTTGACGCGTGTAGCCTGCTCCTACAATGATCCAATTCGGGGTATCTATATTATAGATATGGCCCGCTATACTAATGAATAGGTAGTTGGGTCAGAAATTTGGACTCTCAATTGTAATAAATATTTATATTTCAGAAATCTAAATATTTTTTGAAATTACACCGTGACAGAGCTTCAAATGTCAAAATATCATTTCGCTTCTCGTATACACATTCGCGTATAGATTGTATTTTTACAGAGCGTCACATGATGTTTGTAAGAATGTCGACAAAAAGATATGATCAGGACTTCAATGAAATAATGTTTACCTACTGTCGCTTGACGAATTATAGCCCCATAAATGCTTGATCCGTGCAGCATATGGAAAACGATTTATATATATTTGTGTTCGACGTGATTAATAGGTTTTCAGGAAAATATTGGCACGGGCAACATGAGCGCCTTTACCAATAGTTCAACATATAGTAGGATGGAATTGTCTTATTTATTGAAAACAAAAATAAAGTGTTTATAACGAATACATTGAATGACGTACTGATCACCTCACCGTTTACCAGCACCAGTCGGTTTTTGTTACAAATGAAGGGCCGGTCGGTACTAAGGACCATAGGGCTATAATACGATTACGACTCGGAACCCTCACTGTCAAATATATATATTTTCGATTACGCTGCTACGTAAATTATATTACCCAAAATTCATATATAAATAAAAACGTAGGTTCGAGTAACTCAATAAAAGTAACTAGCCTGACAACATAAATTTCAGATTGTACAACGATCTGTTATTTATTATTTTTTTAAAATAGCATTGTGATCTACTTGTTGATATCACAACTTATCTACGTGGAAATCCCCAATCTGCGAAGGCTACATGAAAGAACAACGTACGGCAGTACGCTCGACTGACTGATAGGGGTAAATATATAAATCCTGTTACGAACTTGCCTTATTGTCACGATTACCTCAAAACTAAACGTTAGTTTCTGTCATTTTTCTCAATCAGTTACATTCAGTCTTTTGTTTATTATATAACTACTAATTTTTCAATGCGACCGACTGAGTCCTTTTTGCAATTAACATAACCGCATCGTGTTCTGTGTAAACTTCAACATAAAATATGACAGGTAGTAGTGGCGCAAAATCGATTAGACGAAAAACTAAAGGCATCGTTTTATGAATCCTATGAGGTCTGATATTTCTCCAAAATTTCGTTATATTTTTATTTTTAATAGAAACACGATTTTTAATCCGCCAAGCATGACGATACTTTCCAATTTGATGCGACGCTACGCTAATCGCTCTTTTGTTTATTATATTTAGTTATTTTCTATTATTGGACACGTAAGTGGACATAACAATCGTTTTGCATTTTATGCTGGCACTTTTCTTCTTATTATTTGATTTCTTCTTGGTATCGCTTTTCTCATTGATTACTGGGGCATTTGCTTTGAAATTTTCAGTAGTTAAAGATGGAATTTTTCCCTAGAAGGCTATTACTTTTATTTATTTCAAATATTCCGGTGAGCTGCATCGAATTCGTTTTTTGAGTGCTACGACGTCTTCCGAATTTACGTGTCCATATATTTGAGCGTAGCTCTCTTGTATTTTATGCACTTCAATTGCTGAAGATTTTTTAATGTGACAATTATTTGTGAGGGGTTTCAGTTTTGATGACTGGCGCATCCTGCTACTCGCTTCGAACACTAACCATTGCCTTATTTTTATTACTACTAAATCCGAGTCATCCAAAAACGAACCCCACGATGACTCCCGTCCTGGGAGCTGACAGCACCTTTTCAAATAACCAAAATTTGACTTCGACTGCAGCTGTCGGCTCCGTAAAAAGTAAATTTTGACCATAAAAAAAATTTGAATTATAGTTGTTTTTGTCGTTGTTGAGAAAAAATTGGATTCAACTAATGGATTTATTCATATTCCATTTACAGTACTTGTGCAATGTCTGAAGCCAAAGATGAAGGCTATATTTTTTTCCTGTTGCACCCGATATCTCATCCAAAATCTTGCTGTTTAATTCATTGGTGTTGGGAAGACTGATGAGCAGATTCTTTACAGATCACCAACTTGAGTGTCTTTGTATAAATTCAATGTTTACAAATGAAGCATTTACCCTAACATGAACACATTTAACCTAACGTAAGTCCTACTGTTAGAAAATATGTTAATACAACCAAATAGTCAGATCAGTTAAATCGTAAATATATACTACTACGGTTAAATAGAAAATGACACAAACATGTTTGATACAGGTAAGGAGAAATGGCATAGAAACAGGATGAGAGAAATGGCATAATGCAATATTAGGAACATTTTTTTATGAAAGATGGAGAATTTTAATTCCATCACTCTTTTCTGCTTCGTCATGCTTGTTTGTCGACTTTTTCAGGTGCCCAGCTAATAGGTTAATGAGGGTACCTACTATCTACCGATGCTCGACCTTCGTGTGTGTATATATATATTTGAACAAATTTCTCTTGTTCACGTCTGTAGAAAATTAGAATTTATTGGACACGGGAGTGTACATAACAATCGTTGCAAAATTATGTTGTTGTTCTTGTTTTTTCTCCTTTGTCATGATAAAATCGCTCTTCTCTTCGAATACTGGACCAATTTGCTTTGAAATTTTTAGTGGTTAAAGATTGATTTTTCCCGTCACTTTTACTTAATTAAAAAAATTCTGTGGACTTCAAAAGATTCGTTTTTTATGTGTCAGAAGAAAAAATAGCGACCTTGTGACGTGTTCATATATTTGAGCATAGCTCTCTTGTTTCAGTTTTTATTATTAATTTTTCAGTGGTCGTCACTTCTAGAATTCACAATTTACGATCCATACTTCTTACTTATAGGAGATGAGAATTTAAGAATCCGGGAAGCTTGAAATTTGATTCCACCTCAAACACTAGCAAATGCTCTAAAACTCCGGCGTCGACTCGCGACCACTTTGTCGTTATAATTCCCTATGAATTTGAAATCGCCAGTGGGGGTCACAGAGTCTCAATATATTTACAAATTCCGCTTTTTCGGGACAGAGATGACTTTTTAGTCCAAAGCTTTGCAATCTTGTTGCTGTGTCATCCCCGTGAGTTGTTTTATTACGAGAATGGCGTCCCGTGCGTCCCATGATATCATGCCTACAGAGGCTGAAATTCTGACGCAAGGACAATGGTGCCCTGTTAATATTGATGTGCAAGCACTGCACGTTCGGATTAAACTGAGCAGTGAATTAAGGAAAGATTCAGATTCAAATCAAAGTTCTTCCACGGTGAGAAATGGTTTTTATTTCGGGACATTTTTGGGTTATGAAAATTTTTGCTTATCGGTCTACAGGTCTGCGCGACTGGGGTCTCGTGTAGTTTCGTACCTAACATACTTCTAGTAGGCGTAGCATGACAATTTTTTGATATGTCAATCCTAACCCCCATCTGACTACGCCATCCAAAAATTACGTCACTACGACATCACAATCACGTCATAGAGCTTGCCAAATATAAGTACGATCGTCCGAAATGGCATTGGCGCCGACGATAAAGAACTGACTGACGTTTTCGATCTCTCTCCTATCGGAATCGTTGCGACGAGAAAACGAGAGAAATAACTGTTCGATTTCGGGTGCTCGTTTGCGCGTCTTGGATGGCAGTTCATATAGTTTGAAGGGCTCTATTACGTTACTGTGTCGTCGTAATGATGTAATTTTTGGATGATGTAGTCAGGTGGGGGTTAGGATTGATACGTGAAAAAATTGTCATGCTACGTCTACTAGAAGTATGTTAGGTACGAAACTACATGAGACCCCGCGACTGTTTTACATTCAAATATACATTTAAATTTCATTCGCCAGTTTGTACAGAGCAATGCTTATAGTTTTTCTGCTCTATGATCAACGGGTCTAGTATAGTTTAGTACCACAAGTACTTCCAGTGGGCGTAGCATAACGACTTTTGCATATGTTATTCCTAACCCTCATCTGACTATGCCATCCAAAAATTACGTCACTACGACGTCACCATCACGTCATAGGGATTGCCAAAGTATAATTACGATCGTCCACAATGGCATATGCGCCGACGATAAGAACTTGCTAAAGCCGGCGATCTCTCTCCTATCGCGATCGTTGCGACGAGAAAACGAGAGAAATATCTTGCTCGATTTCGGGTTATCGTCTTCGCGTTTTGGACATCCACCCGCATACTTCGGTGGGCCTTATTACGCCACTGTGACGTCGGAATGACGTAATTTTTCGGTGACGTAGTCAGATGGGGGTTAGGATTGACATATGCAAAAATTGTTGAGCCAGTCCAACTAGAAGTGGATGTGGTACTAAACTATACCAGATCCGGATTAACTTGGAGCATAATATGTTTATTTATGCCATTACATCGTACTTCTGTGCTTTGTTTATTCCAATAAAGTAAATTTCAACCACATAAACAATATTCAGGTCTAGTGAGCTAGTGTAGTTTCGTACCTCAAGTACTTCTAGTGGGCGTAGCGTAACAATTTTTACATATAATATTCCTTACCCCCACCTGACTGCCTCATCCAAAAATTACATCACTACGACAGCACAGTAACTTAATAAGGCCCTTTAAACTATAAGAACTGCCCACTAAAAGTACTTGAGGTACACAACTACACAAGACCCAATATTCAACAATAGCGAAATATATTTTTCAGGCAACATCACAAATTCCAACAGATGGCTCCTTTTCTCCAATAACAGTTCCTGAAACAGTTGATTATATTCCGAGTTCTGAGGAAGTATCAGATCAACCTCGTGTGGTCAATGTATTAAAGCAAGATGCCGGTGGATTGGGAATTAGTATCAAAGGAGGCAGTGAAAATGGAATGCCAATATTAATAAGCAAAGTTTTCAAGTAACAAAATCAACTTATAATATTTTGTATTTGACTATAATCATTTTATAAATATTTATGATTATTTTGACAACTCATGCCTCTATGATTTCATTTTAATGTTAATCATACCCCATTCTTCATTTTTTCCGATTATTAAACAGTAAAATCACAGTTAAATCAATAAAGGTGACCAAACTATAAAAATCTTGATTTTTTTATAACGGGTCTCGTTTTGAACATTGAATTTAGGTTAACCCTACTTTCTGTATAACAATTATTTCAACTTATTGTTTCAACTTTTGAAAATATTCTTGTAATCAAACAAAAAAAGTTGTTCAAACTTCAAATCACAAAATTTTCAATCATTCTGCAGGGGTCTAGCAGCTGACAACACAAAGCAACTATTTGTTGGTGATTGTATAATGTCAGTGAATGAAGAAAGTTTGCAAAATGTAACGCATGATGAAGCCGTCACTGTTTTGAAAAACAGTGGAAAATCTGTACAATTAGAAGTTCGTTTTATGAAAGAAGTGACACCGTTCTTCAGGAAGGGAAGAGTTTTAATGGATATTGGTTGGGATTTACAACCTCCTTACGCTGATCTGCAGGTATTTGATATAGAGGGCTAAATGTTACTTATTTATGCCCAATGCAATGTCAGACGAGACAAAAATAATTAGTGCGCCCACCTTCGCAGATTTTATTTATACTTATATATATATCCAGAAAACATACCCAGAAAAACTTAAAGATTGCCATTTTTCATGACCGAGATTTTACTTAGTATATATATATATGCCATATAACTCATGGAATGAATACTTTTCTCTTTAATAGGATATTTTTGAGAGATCTTTTTATCCATCTATCCCTGAATATGATAACTCGTTCATTGATAAGGCTTATTGCTTATTATTAATTTAATGCTATTTCTGAATGGTTTTACTAAAGGGTATTTTGTACATAAATCTTCAAATTTTTCTTGAAAGCTGAGTAACAAGGTTTTATTTTGTGTATTGGATAGTCCTTCTATTGAATTTCTTTTTCAGAAGGGACAAATGTTATTTCTAATGCATATATTCAACCTTATTACAGAACGGGCTAGATCAGTCAGTGTCAGAAAGACAAATTCCATTGAAGTTAAGTTATGTTACAAGGGATTTAACGGTCACTGATCAGGTGGGTTCACACTGCTTTATTACACATTCTATTAGGAGATACATCCATGCAGAGCACACTATTGCTGGTCGTCTTAGTGAGATTGTATGGTTTTGTGTTGTACTAATACATAATTCTTGGTAACAATTTTTATCTAACTTGAATTCCTTTTTTTAAAATGATGAAAAAAATTAAATCATACAAAAATGTATTCAAAAAATAAAAAAATTCAAAATTGTATCGTGAAAAATTTCATTCATAATTTACTTTTTATATTTTTAGTTGATTTAGTTTTTGGTCATTCCATGAATTGTAGCTTCCTATATAACAGTGGTTGCTTGTACACAGCCTGGTTTAGAGCAAGACGTGAATAAGCTTTGCATTTTATTAAAAAAAATCTCGAGAGAAACCTGAATGCAATTTAAAGTTTGCAATGGATGTATTTTTTTTACACTTTTAAAAATCAAAAATATTCCTAACTTCAAATATTATCTATAATAGGCCTACCAATTTTTGTAAAAATACTAGTATTTTCAGCTATTTTTGAGTGAGACTAATAATAATGTTTTGAAATTTTGGTGTTCCTCTTTTTTTCAGGGTAATAGAGTGATTGAAATCCATTCACCTGATGGTAGAAATTCATGTATAATCAGGTTCAGTGAACGGGAGACCGCAATTATATGGTTTGAACATTTACATAAGATATCATTCCAAGCAACACAACATGCTGTTGTACAGGTGCGATATTTATATAATCAATTATTAATGTCTATAGAGATAAAAGGAAATTTTTATATTTTTGAATGTAATTCAAATGCTTGATTATCTGTTTTACTTTCATCTTTAAATAAGTTTTCAAAATCGTTAGTCGTTCTCTGAAATTGAGGTATATTTGACTGATCTTTGTTCATATATGTATAATGAAAAATGTTAAATTTTTGACAACTTATACGTATATATATCCAAAATTTCTGAATGGTACCGGTAATTGACGATTTCTTGTATTGTGTTATCCTGAGCTGTTCAACACAATTAGGATAATGAGAAAGTTGAAGAGAAAGGCATTTCATGATTATATAGTACATCATAACCTATGGTTTGAAAATGCTCTTTGCAATGCTTTTAAATACACATGATCATGAACTTTGACAGAAGGTGTATTTAATGCTTCTTGTTGACATTTATTTTTGTATAGTAGAACTACACTTTTATGATCTTCATGAAACAGTAAGAAAATATATTTCAGATGTGAAGTTTTTTATGAAAGTTATGCACAAAATTTATTTTGATAAGTTTATGATTTCTTGATTTTGTAATTAGACCTTGACTAGACCTATGGATCGTTTTGCTATTTTGTCGGTGTTGCGATAAAAAATTGTCTGAAAGCTCGTAGCTGGGCAGGTCTACTAAAAACCTTTGGTTTTGAATTTTATCTGCAATCTGTGTGGTTCATCTAAAATTTTGTTCAATTTTTCTTTTTTTTTTGAAATAGTACCTTTTTTGATGAGCAATATTGGCAAGTTAGTGTTCAGCAATCGACAACTAGAAACCATACTACCTTAATTATGTCAATGTCTTCGATCTTTACTCTCTTTATGCTTAACAATTGTTTAGATACTTTGCGGCCTTACTGCTGAAATTATTTGCATTCTTTGTACAAAAAATTATCTGTTTTATGTTATATTTAGGCAAACTTGATACTGAATTCTAGTGATGACAGAGGAGACTCAGAAAAGGTCAAACAATTAATGTTGAAACAAATCAGGTTCATGGGATGGCTTTCTGAACAGGTTGGTTAGAGCCGGTAGTGTTAATTAGACTATGCATAGATTATGATGAATCTCCAGGCTGGTATTTCTTGAACTATTGTGACCCATTGCTCTTCTATTGAAATACCTGGCTTTAATTTTAATAATGAGTTACGATTAATTATTCCATGTGTCACATTTGATAATGAAAGCCGGCAAAGAAAAAGCAAAATAATAAATTCTTTACAGTCAAAGAATTAATCACAGGCAATTGTCCTGGCGAAAGGTACTTGATTGTTCTGTGGATTGAGTTTTTCAAGTTTCCTTGTTTCAAGTGACAATATTTCATGAAACAATTAGCAGCTCATTATCAAGTCTTAATAAAGTGATAATTTTGTATTCTCACCTCTGTGAGTTGATACTGGAGACTGACCCAATGAATTGATTTAATTATGCGAAAAATAATTTTTTAATCTCTTTGAGATGGTCAAATAAAGCTAATTTCATTTGCATTGAAAATTGGTGAAATTTTGTATAGTAAATAATAAATATATATGATGTTAGGAAGAATTTAGAATATTGGAAATTTGAAAATTTATATTTTCAAGCTGAAATATCAATGGAGTGAAATTGTTATTCCATCACTGGGTTATTTAAGATCCTACTTATCCGAGATGTCTCCAAATATTTATTAAAAAACTTATTGAAAATCACCTAGGTCGTCCATCTCATTAAAAAAAAACACAATATACTATGATTAGTTGATTGATAAATTGATTTTTTTTTTCATCTACGCTTTCATATATTCCCTTGGGAGGAGGGGGCAGTCGTGGTAAATGAAAGTGTGAGTTTATCCTATTTAATTTCAGCCAAACTGCAATTATATCTTTCACCTGTTTTTTTATTAATAAATATTATGTATTTTAGTTAGAACATGATCGATATTTCATATTCGAAAAAAATATATATATTCCAAATTTAGGCATCCCTGAATTGTTCTCTTGTATTGGTAATTTATGGTTCACCATGCCATATTTCTCTTAGTTATAGTTCAATTTCTGGTATTTTGGCTTTTGTCTGTGACCAATATGTGTGATCTCATGGCCCATGGGTCACGTTTGTTGTTATTGGCAGTTTGTTGTTATTGGCAGTAAAATATTGTTTATACAAGAAATCAATTAAACAAACATTTTATGAATATGATATCGCCTCAATTTCACATAGTAATAGGGTGCCATGTTAGTTCTGGTATTTTATTATATTGAAATATCAGCAACCGTCTGCTCAACAAATCTATATATTTAAACAGTTAAAAATCATAAATAAAAACTGTAATTGTTAGCCCCCAATGCAAATTTATCCAGTATTTAAAATTATGTTTAAGATACGCCTTTTGTTATGAAAGATGATGTCTAGTTCTTTTCAACGTTATTGCTAATCCTTATGAGTAAGAAGTGTAGTTAGTACTTTTCACAATTTTCTTTAGCATTTTATGAACTCTGAAGCACATGCTTTATGCACTGTCATATTATATTAGATATTGTATCACACTTTTATGAGCTTCATTCAACAAGCAACGACTTCCTTTATTGAATCTAATACTGATAATTGGCAATAATTGATTTGCTCAATAGTTCAGGGAAATGTTTTCTTAGTTGATTGGGGACAGAGGATAGAATCTAATGGCTGTTGATTGATTGTATATTAGAAGCTATGTCTTCAATACTTATTAAAAACTTTTTTTCAAATGAAAATTGCAGTCGTCGCCTTTTTTTCATTTCATATTTTTAATGAAAAGTTCTCATTCCGAACATAACTCTGTTCAGACAGCCACTGAGTGGGGGTTATTTGAAAGGGCCAGAAGCTCTTCTAAACAGAAGACGATTAACAACCTCAATATAGTCAGATACTATATGCTTCAACCACTATTTTTTCTTCTGTAGGATTTTAATAATCTTAAATATTTTTTATTCTATTCTCTGTTATACAATTTCATCAATTTATATTAAACATTTTTTTTAGATTTGCACCGACACACAGACAATGTATAAACCAGTGTTTGTCGCTGTAACAGATAAAGAAATTTTAATTTATGATTTTGTGCCTTGGACTAGCGAAGATTGGTCAATTCCATTTCTGAGTTTACCATTACTAGCTACGAGGTAAGGGTTACATGTAATAAAAAAATTTAAATCTATGCAAAAATATATTTTTCAAGTTTGTTAGCGGATGTCTGAAGAACTTAATAATTGTATTTGAGTTGGTGATATTCAATACAGTAAATAAATAATATTATTATTAATTTGAAATATTGTATTTCCAAACTTTATTATGTTGCTGGGACGTAAAATAGACCTAATTTCACTTCTCACATGTAAAAAAGTCAATTTAAATAATCTATTCTGCATTACTAATTTACCAACTTCAATTTTTATTAATATTTATTGATCTTTCGGCATATTTAAATTGGCGATGCAAACATAATTAGAATCTAACTCTAGCCACAGTGCCATCATCAAATTAATTTATATTGAAGAATGCTAAAATGACAGTATTTTGGTAAAAATGTAACCCAACTACAAGAATTTGAAAATATTGTGTTTGCCTCATGTTTACTGTGTTTGGTAGCAGGACAAATTCTTGCGGTTTCTCTGGAATTCTGTGTATTTTGACCATAAACATAGTATTAGGTCTTGATCGGTATTGATATTTTTACGATTATTCGTGGTTGGCCACAGGATGATTTTGTTGAAATTCCATATTTTAATTGATGGCATATCGTCTGTTGTATTAATAGTGCACTGGATTTAGTTCAGCATTGTAATTGAAGATCAGATGTCTCATAAAAGCATAAATTGACAATTGGCACATTGTGCTAAGCCCTGAGCCCGCACAACTGATGATTTTGAGTGGTTGTACATGTTGAAATCCAATGTACGATATTTATGTGCGAGAGGATTGCTTGGACCCTCACGATCACAGGGTGGATCATGTAACCTTTGGTCAGTTACAGCTTCTTCTATCACCAAAGTCCATGCACATGGAAGCAATTGATAACTATTGTCATACCCAATTTGGACTGCGGGTCATTGATCGTCGAATAATTGCGTAACCTTTCCTCTTCCCTGGGATAAATATAAAAATCCTATCATCATCAGTGTTAGGGCAGAATATTTTCATTTTTCTCTCTCTTCAGGCTTGTTCACAAACAGAATGCAGAAAATGGTGGAATATCACATTCATTCGATAATATTATGTTTAGTGTAAGAACTGGTTCAAGGGAAGGAATCGAAATGCACACATTTAAGTAAGCCGTGATACCAAAATTGTTATAGCAGTTAAATTTTTGAAACACTGTTTGTTATTTGTCTCTAATGATCTCAGAACCAACGTTCATGCACATTTATTTACTTTGGCACGATAAGATGCCGTTCCTGTCTTACATTGCATCAAAAATATTTGCTGAAGGGCATTACTGCTGATAATCATTATGTAAATATATGCATCATGTTTCATGTACTTTTATTATCAGGTAAACATGGTTGTTACTTATTCACATACATAGAAGTCTTTCACATATATACTGAATTAGAATTTGGAGCCATTAATAAATTTGTACATCATGAATCATGATGATTATGTTATGATATTCAACTGCAGTCATTGCCTCTGGATCCAATAATCTAGCAAATATTTTTTAAATTGACAGTATGGTAATTTTAGGTGGATTATATTTTGATAGCTTAATAAATATGGCAGGACAGACACCCTTTTGATTTCCCTGTCTTGTATGAAATTATCGTTTTTCACGGGGCACAAGGCGTGCTTCAAATACTTTTTTCTCGAAAATTAATCGTGCGCCCTATAAGCTGGCACGCCTAATGTAACGGTTGTGCCTTATGTACGAATAAAAACCCAGTCTAAGCGATTTATTGACAGTACGCTTAATGGTCCGTAAAATACGATAAACAAAATTTATGCCAATCTTTATATAAGCCCTATTTAACTCTGTTTCAGATGCGGTACACAAGAACATTTTAAACGATGGAAACAAGCAATTATAAGAAGTTGTCATCGTGCTGTAGAAATTATGAAAGAAATAACAATAAGTGAGTTATCAGCCAAATAATTTTAACTTTTAACATACATCATTGTAGGATGTCTAATTGCCAAGTTAACCGTGACAGCTGGCGGGTCCGGCCAATGGTTTTCGGGAGTCATTACGGTCAAAAAAATCGTTTTAAGCTACGAAAAATTATTGCTATGTTTGATACAGGAAAGTTCCGACCCGCAAAACCACCCCCATGGGTACATACTCAAGTCTAACACTTCGACCACTAAGCCATTGATTTAGAATCAAAATTGGGTTCCCACTTCCCAGCATATTTGATTTTTTTCTCTTTAATATACTCCTAATGTTTATCGTTCTTTCAACTACAGCTCTTATTTATCCTCATATTTTTCTCTGTCTAGAAATCCAATGGAAAGAACGTGAAGCTCGTTTGACAATACATTGGGAGAATGGATTCACTTTACGTGCACTTCCACTAGGATTACTTGATGTAGAGTCTGCTCCTGTAATATGGGAACATCCTTTCCGAGATCTGAGGCATTCGTCTGATGATGGAAAAAGAATTTTGACACTGGATTTCGGAAAAGGACCAGAGGTTGGTTTTGTTTTATTGTGGAGCGTGGTATTGTTGGAGATTTCCTACACTTACCATACACAGTCTGGGACATGATGCAAGGTCCCAATTTCTTCAAGTATATACCAACTAATAAAGTCCCCCAACTCTCAGTCATTAAAAAATGACTGTAGTTTTGACTTTTTTATGATTGACGAAAATTCCAGGATGAGGGAAATTTGTTTCAATCGACTCCAGCTCCCAACTCTAAGAAAACGAAATTTTGGCCGAGAACGGTGCGGTGCAAGTCTATATTTTATTCTGTTGAGAATGCTAAGTCAACTTGATGCTTTTGGCGTTTCAGTCAAAAAAATTTGACTCAAAAATTCTGACTACAAATAATTCAAAATTTTTACCTGTACTCTCAATTCACACTGAGTCGGAGAAAATGACTCCGGCTCAAACTCCAATATCTATAGAAGCATATCGAATACGTCATTGCTGCCATCTGTACCAACAATTTATTTTTGTATGCTCATAAATGTATGTTTCTTTGTTCCAGGAATTTGATCTTGGATCCTGTCCAAAGCCCATCGTGTTTGTTCTTCATAATTTTCTATCAGCAAAGGTTACAAGAATGGGATTGATGACACAAGTTTCGTGATTGATTGAAACGATTCAGTAACGTCAATAATATGAAGATAGAGCAATATTTTTATATATTTTCAGTCTTTAGAAAGCAAGGGTAATGACACTAAAGAATTACTATAGCATGACATACACCTAAAACGATTTTCAAAATAGTATTTCCAACTCATAAACCAGAAACAAAGATTGCAATGCAATTTTATCTCATTCAGTCTTTCATTATGCAAAAACAGTCTCATGTATTCCATTTCCTTCGACGTATCCAACCATGATTTATAAAAACGACCAATATTGATAAACAGCATACATGATACTGTAGCAGGATACTCACTCAAATTGTAATATAACTCATTCCTTTACAAATCATATCTTCAATCTACTCAGGCATGTCAACTAATTGTATATTATTTTAGTGTTTTCGATCTTACCTTGTGTTTATGATATTTTTTCTATTTTTGTGGCTTTTTATTAGTATTTTAGCCAAAAATCGCATTTGTTTGCCCATTATTCAATTAAATGTAATCCAATTTTTAAAATATTTTAATTTTATGTATTAATATTATGTAATGAAAATATTATATTTCAAGGTGATGATTTATTTCTGCATTTTGTTGATTGTTTTGTAAAAAAATAGTTCAAAAAATTTGCCAAACGCCAACTTTTTTGAAATGAACAAAATATCAAATTTGGATCCTCACTATTTGGATCAGTTACAAAAAATGACACTGTTTGAAATCAAATATTAAAAATTATAATTTTTTGTATTACTACTTTGAACCTGGCGTCATAAGTTATCAATCCATTGTTTAACCCGGTGCTCTTCAAACTTCTTTCATCACGACCCACATTGCGCAGCCAAATTTTTTCGTGACTCCCAGGAACTAAACTAAAAATAAAGTTGAATTTAATATTACGGAAACGAATAAAAAAAATAAATAATCTTTCAAATTTGATCGATATTTTGTTTTAATATGAGTTAGTGTAGAAAAAGTTTTTATCATGCACCCCATTGAGCCCTTTCGCTACCCACTGGGTCGGGACCACCAGTTTGAAGAGCCCTGTTTTAACCCATGCCTGTAACCCTACCTATATTTTAAACGCTATGTCATACATGAAGAATTTTTTACAGAAATAATAATAATTTGCACAGAACGGTTGGGTATAATGAAGGTTGATGTACCTTATTAAGTATTGCCATACAGTATCTGACAGTGTATTGGTAATGCATCCTGCTTACCATGACGAATATATCAGCATTTGCTGTGTTCCTGCAAAATGGTTACAAGATATATACAACACGCAATATATTTTTGATTTGTTGACACTACAAAAAAAAATTAATAAATTTATGTTCGCACCACTGGTACCTTCTCAATTTTTGGAGGATGTCTCATAACGTCATGTCACTCTGTAGTTCTGAAAAATGGCCCCAAATAGGGCCCTGACCTTCACATCAATTCTGTACAATTTTTTTATAAACGTTGCACTATTACAAACTATGTACAATAGTTTTATTAGATCTTGTTAATTTTAATTGTTACAAAGTGTCCTCTTTATTTTTACCTATGATGATCTCTCGATTTTGCGTAGCCAGCAAATTTTTTCAGAAAGTTAGTTCGAGCTTAGCGTTGCCATATTGAGCAACTGCAATCCATTCTCATCCAAACTCTTTTATTGAACAATTTAGTCCAGAATAATAAAAATGCTCTAATTTAAGATAAAATTTAGCTCCAAGACAATAATCTTTCGAAAACGAAAGCATTTCCAACAAACTTCGAACTGCTTAGGATTGGCTGGAGCTCCTGCAAAACTAAATTACATTTTACCTCCCAAATGTCTTGATTTATGTGCATGTTTAATTTTCCATTATTATTTTATTGGTATTATAGCCTTTTCAAATGTAATATTTCCAGTGTTCAAATTATTTGAGATCTCTGTATTATTCTGGTAATTTTTTCTATTTAATCTTTTTGCTTCTGCTCAAATCACTTTTCTTTATTTTGTGTTATTGGGAAGTGCATGCATCAATAAACAATCAAAGATTTTTTGCAGCATCAGTCTCGTTTTACTGTCAATGTAGATGTAATTCAGTCGAAGAAATTCTGAAATATTTCATGACACCGAAAAGAATTGTATTAAGTTATTGTTTTTAAGAAGCCAGGTTCGTTGATTTTGCGCGTGAATACCATAGTTACCCACGTAATTTTGCGCCAACGTTTTTACTTTTACCGTGTGCTCAAAACAGTACAAAATGCCTAGTGTAAAAGTAATTACAAAAATAACCAATGGCTTTGCTGATATGATTTTAGTCTCCATGCCACCCTTTGTGAAGAGGCCTATACAAGTGTCCGATATCTCACAACTTTTGAGCAATAAGTCATTTTTAAAATGCTCCTTCGAATCACAGTTTTCTGTGGGTGGCGCATAATATCAAGAGTTCATATTGTTTATGAATACATGGACGCAAGTTTAGTGTTCCTTGTCTGAGTGCGATGCCATTCGACATACTTACTAAAGATGTTTAGAAATACCAAAACTTGGTCGTAGGAACTTCTATTCAGCTTAAAGTTTTATATATTATATCCCACTGTATGGACAAGATGGCCCTACTCTGCGTGTCCTAACCCCAGTTCTAATTAACCTATTTTAGATTTAGAGAGTAGTTCCAACTGTTCTCCTTCAGATTGGTTATTTTTTAGGTAATAAACAAGGAAATCGATGCTCAGGGAAATACAAATGTTAAGCAATAGGGTATTGTTGCACACTAAATATTGTATTTCATATGATTTTTAACAAGCACTAGACTAGACATCAAAAAAGCCAAAACGCCAAACGGAAATTATGACGCCAAACGTGTTTTAAAAAGAGCCAAATTGTTAAACCGTAGTAGTATTTATTTACGGTTAAACTTGGCGTTAAAAAGCCAATATGAGTATGACAACCCTGAGGTACGAGATTAGTTACATTGTGACTCAATAATGCCGATTGACTAGATGTCAACACTTTACGTTCAGCCATCTCATAGATCAGCGACGAGGATCACAAGAGAAATTGTTAAGACAGTGAACGTCTAAATCACCCCTGAAAATTGACAAATTAGCCCGTTAACGGTGACCCAAAGTTTGGAAACCACTTTTAAGTTTATTTATAAGATAAAAATGATTTATATATGAGTGGACATCTGGCAACTATACGATCTCTAAACGGAGTATTCTTGACTCTGACGTATGAAAAAGAGGTAGAAGTGATGAGGGTTAGCTGGGTGAGTGATTTTGTAAAAAAAATATGTTGCTTCAAACTGTGCATATTCGTTAACTAATATTACCAACTGTTCAAAAGATATAGCTAATCAATATGTCATGCTACCGCCCCGTTATAATACTTGATCAGCCCAAATTGAAATAGGAAATGAAGCTATTCCGCCGATTGAGAGCGGACAACATCATTTTGTTTTAGTCCATTTGATAGGTAGCTTGAGCGAAGCAAATGTACGCATTCTATATCAATGGTGATCTATGTTTACAATGCAAAGCCGGAACCACCTTATCAATATTAGTTATGGATTGCATGTATCAGTACCGGTAAGTACTGATTAACGTTCATCAAAATTGCTTTGGTTACAGCGTTAAAGGGAATGTGAGCCCGATAACACCTCCAATTACCGGCATTGCTTTGATAACCTCCTTTTTGATTATAACATCCAGCATATAGAACTATATCGATAGAGTTAATATCGTCATATGCTATGTTGACAAGACGCTTTGCACCGATCGTCCGAAGGGGTTTCTCCACAACTATCAGGAGAAGCGGGGGACATGGAAAACCGACTGCACAAGACATGCTTCCGTTTGATCCTTTCCAGAACCGGTAAGCCTCAGTAGTAGTGAAAAACCCAACGACATTTCCTTTTTATTGTATTTTCTGCAAAGTAGGTCATAATTAGGCTTACCATACGTCCCGGTTTAGCCGGGACAGTCCCGGTTTTGACGAGCTGTCCCGGCGTCCCGGCCGGTTGACTCAAATGTCAGCACGACGGTTTGTCAGCACGACTGTCGTGGGTAAAAAATTCATATTCATTATTATTACTATTTTTTTCAACGGTGGCAGTCCATTTACCACTGTTTGCGACACACTTCGCTAGTTCAGAGAGAGAAATTGCTTTATTGTTATGTCACAATCGGTATATGTTTTACTATCACACTGCTATTCATGGCCAAAGTTTTGACTGCACCTCTAAATTAATTTTTCTTTAGCCTAAATTTGCGTTAACTTGTAAATATACACAGTTAGAATTTCTGATGTCCGCTGTCTGATAAGCGGATTCGCTGATTTTGCACGCTTAGCCAGAAATAAATGAGAGTCGGTGATTTTTAATTGCATTGCTCCGCTGTTCTCCTCTGAACCTAATGACGATTTACTTTAAACCAGTTTCGTATCAGTAACCTTCGATGCATCAAACAGAAAAAATTTAAAGCTTGTTCTAGTTGTGGTTCGTTATTTTTTACCTGATGTTGGTGTGAAGATAAAACTATTAGAATTCAAATCTTTACCCAGGGAAACCGCCAAAACTTTTACTAAATACTTGCTCTCTGTTCTCGGAAAAGTTGTTGGATTGTGGGCGGATAACTGCAGCACCAACTTTGGAGGCGTAAAAGACGAAAAACAAATAATGCTTTTTTTTCAAACTAAAAGAAATATAATCGGTATAGATTGTGCGGCTCATGTAGTTCAACACTGCACTGCGATGCCCTTTCCAACATGCAGTAGATACTTTGCCTGTTTGTGTTGTTGTCAGAATGTATGAATATTTTTACATTCACACTGTCCGAGTAACAGAGCAGAAACCATTCTGCGATTTTGTTGATATTGAATATCAACGACTATTACAGCATGGCAACACTCGGTTTCTCCCTTTATTACCTGCTTTGCAAAGGATTACGGAAATGTTTGAAAGCTTGATAAGTTATTCAAATTCTCAAGAAGGATGTCCTACTCTTATGCTTAAATGTTCCAACGTACGAACTTCACTTGAAATTTGTCCTTTGCCAGCTCACCTACTTCAGCAAAATTATTTTAATTTTGGAAAAAGATAATAGTAATGCCTTAGATCAGGGGTCGGCAACCTACGGCCCCCGGGCCGGATCCGGCCCGCAGAGTATTATAATCCGGCTCGTGACGCTTCACTGAATTATAGTAACAAAACAGCCGTTTTGACGATTATATTTTTTGAACTAAATCATATTATAACCTTACAGGTATATAATTCACAATTACTCGTTTAATGAGCCTTTAATTTAATTATAATTAGACAAATGGCAACAAAACGCAGAAAAGTTGATGCTAAGTGCAAATTCAATGGCGCTGAAAATATTCAAATGGAATTTTTTGAGATGCAATGAAGAAAAAAATCTATATTCTATTCGAGCTTTCTAAAAATATGTGCGGCCCGCCAATGACTCGCAACCCTTAATTTTGGCCCGCGATCGACAAAAGGTTGCCGATTCCTGTCGTAGATGTCAAAGGTGAAGCTAAATTTGAAAGAAAAAGGGTAAAGTCTGTTAATTCCGTCGCAATCGCTTGTACTTCTGAAATCCTTGGAACGCTCTAGCGAAATCGACGTAATGTTTGCGATTTTTACGAGAAATGTCTATCGTAGCTGCATGAGGAAGCCTACAATGCTATCAGGCCAAACATATGGACAAATTTGAAGGGTGAAATAAACTGGACTGAAGTGATTGGTCTTCAAAATTGATAAATGATATATATGTTTGGTTGGCTAGTCAGATTTTGAATAGCGATGCACTTTTCGACAAATACCGATGAAGAGATATTTATCTGAGCATGGTTCAAATGCAATTTGGCTTACTTTGCCGGTTGAAATTAAGTGGACAGAGATGTTTAACGTTTTTTCTAACAGAAATATTAGCATTTCGAATTTGCAGAAACTCGTAGATTTTGTTTGCCGGAACATCGGCATCTGTTGAACGGATTTTCTCCATAGTTAAAATTTTTTGATCCGAAAGCAGGTTCAGAATGCCAGAAGAATATATAAAAGCACTCGTGACATGCAAATTTAATGGTGATGTCTCTTGTTATCAGTTTTATGAAAAAATCAGAACATGAATTTTTGAGAAGGGTTCCATCTGCGGACAATACTTTTGGTCTAAATAAATAATACTCGTACAAACTATTTTTTTGTGTTTTTCCTAATTCAATGATCAGTAGAGATTTACAGCCGTATATACCCTTAATGACATGGTAGACGTTTCAATATTACAAAGACTGGCAATCGACCGAATGTTTGCCAAATCGCACCGTCCCGGTTTTTTGTTTCAGATTTATGGTAAGCCTAGTCATAATTGAAATGTGTATTGCGCGAAGTACAAGCTGTTGATACATTCACAATGTCGACTAGAACCCAAGCAGGTATGCATGTTAAATGATAAAAATCCTTTGTTCGGAAAATGCAGCGAGCTCAAAAAGTCGACTTATTATAAGTAATAAAAAGAGATAAGGTGACCATACATTTGAACCCATGTGTATATCCACGGGTTCAATTTATATGCGGGTGCTAAAACCCATGGGTTAGGGTTAGTATGGGTTCAAATATCCGCAAAACAAAAAAATTTCCATATGTGCAATAGTATGCAGGTGCAATTGTCGTGGGTTCAAATGTACGGGAACCGTAATAATAAACTGAGGACAAATACGACTTAAAACTTCGACTATCTTTACACGGTAAAATTCGCAAGCCTACTATTAGGTCCTGATTTTTTTGAGAATAATTTTGTTTTAATAATTAATATTTAACTCATTTTCATAGATACAAACTTCTGATCAAGATGAGCATATATATTGGAACAGCATTCTCTCTACCATTTTTCGCTGTATATTTCCAACTTAGAAAAAAATATGGCGAAGAAACACAGTGACGGATTTGTCAGTGGCTTTACTGTTGGGCTTACATTTTGAAATAAAATTTAACCTAATTTGAACTTGAAAAAATTATTTATATCGTGAGCGGCAGATATAGTTAAGCAAAGATTATCAGACATTCAGGAAGTATAGGATTTTCCTATTTATTCCGGGGCAGGGAAAAGCTGATAAGACGGGTTAATCGATCATATGACAAACCACGGCCTCTCAACAGGGACTTGATGGTGCAGGAAGCCGTAACCGACCAGTGAGTCAACGGCGACGAGTAGTCCAGCAATCCTCTCATACATATTATTTATAATAATTATTATATACATAATTATTATATATATAATTATATACATAATTATTATAACCCCCGCGGAAATCGAACCTGCGGATCTAAACAGGGTGATTAGACGTGGGATGGCGAAATGAAACAGACAAAATGTATTCATGCCAGTGCGACCCGTGTCTATTGTACTTTGCGCTAGGAAGAATTAGCACCAGCGGTTCTTTATTCTTAGAAACTATCGGGTCCATCTCACTCCTATGTTCACTTACGTCATACGCCATGAATGCGCGTAACAAACAATGAGGTTCTAATATCATTTCTAGCAAATCAGTCATTCGAATTGACCAATTTAAGTGCCCGGTATTTGAACCTTTACTTCTAAAATGAAACAAAAATAAGGACACATGTCAAAATACAGACGTTTCCTAGAAGTAAGGACAAAAAAGTCTCTAAGACAGAACCCTTCCATAGAAACCCAAGTTGGTGCTCCCGAAGTATGCGAACCAAGATGGCGGACATCGGAACGTAACACGGGTAACAGGTTAGGGTTAGGCGATAATAGTACACATATTACATTCCGATGTCCGCCATCTTGGTTCGCATACTTCGGGAGCCCCGACAAGTTTTAGAAATAAGGATGTTATGGCAGCCCTGTTTAGAGGGATATATATATAGCCTATGACAGGGATGGCGAACCACTGACCCGCGGGTCACAAAGTGACCCACCGCGTTTTATTCGTGACCCGCGAAGGCACGAATAAAATTTAAAAAAATACTAAAATATCAGTAATAAAAATTTATCAAGCCGGCCTTAAATTAATCTAACAATAAATAAACTATTATAATGTATCGTTGTGCAGTCAGGGCTGCGATCGCTAATATTCAAACTGATAATTTCCGGATCGATATGGTAATTTCAAAACCGGCTATTCATTAGCTCTGACATCGTTTATGACATAATGCAATGGATCTATTCATTTCTCGCAAAGTCTTTCGAAATGCATCTGCAGACTGTTTCAGGAATTATACGAGAACTGGGTGCTTCTTTGCATTCATTAGTTTCTCGCCTACAATGCCGTTGAGAAAAAAAATCTTTCAGATTTGAAATAAACACCCAGAAATCTGAAATAACAATGGGGCAGTGTAAAAGTGCCACAATGTGGTTAAAAGCTGATCAAAAAATATAACACTATCAAAGTGGAATTCCCTCCAAACTGCTTGGAACCGTAAAATAATTTGCCGCATCATCCTAAACGTTTTTGGTAATTTATACGTGTTTTCGTACTCTAATTCCATAAAATCGAGTGCCATAATAAGTTCCTGATAGAAGTAAAGCCCAAAACTACACCATCACCAACAGAAGCTAATAAGATTTGTTTCACAAGTTTTTTATAGATACAAACATTAAATCAAATATCTGTGACCCACTCTCTTCTGTTCCGCGATAAAAATATAATGTTTGACCCACTCACTGAAAAAGGATCGCCATCCCTGATCAGAATTATCATTCAGAATTACTCTTATAAGTTGTCGGCATTTTGCGGATTATATTCGAATTTGGGCTCATACATTACAGTTAGCATTAGTAACATTGCAGAAAAACCTACCGATATTTTTGGTGTTCCCTTTATGATATTAGATTTTGTTCTGTTTTTCGTGCTAACATATTCTTTTTTTATGTGATTCACCGTCATGTGAAACTTATTTATGTATTTTATAATTACCAGTACCAGCTTAATGTGCTTAAACGTATCTTTTTCTCCGATGTGTTTTTTTTTCGGAACAATTAATTCTGAGTAGGATCCGATTCTTCGTAATTAATATTATTAAAAGTTGTTATATTCCGCGTGGGAATCGGTTGAAAACTGCAGAATATTTTTCTGCTGAAATTCTGCTGGATTCACAGTGGAGTAAAAGTACCCTTATGTGGTTGAAAGCTGATCGAAAAATATAACACTTCAGAGTGGAATTCCCTTCAAACTCTTCGGAACCGTAAAATAATTTGCCGCATCATCCTAAACGTAATTGGTATGAGTGTTTTCGTACTCTAATTTCATAAAATCGAGTGCCATAAAAAGTTCCTGATAGAAGCGTAAATATATACTACTACATAGAAATGCTGCATAAGTAAAGCTCAAAACTACACCAACACCAACCGAAGCTTATGAGATTTGTTTCAGAAGTTTCTTATAGATACAAACATTGATTAAATATTTGTGACCCACTCTCTTCTGTTCCGCGATAAAAATATAATTTTTGACCCATTCATTGAAAAGGGTTCGCCATCCCTGGCCTATGGCATAGGTCGGCAACCCCTAGCACGCGTGCCAATTGTGGCACGCGAGAAGATTTCTTATGGCACGCCAAGTGATTTGAGGCATATTCAGTTATTTATTTTAGAATATTTATTATTGAACAAAAATTAACAATTCGACAAATTAATTGAAAAACATGCAATATTTAACTGCAATCGACGAGAGGCCGAAATCTGTACGGGAAACCAGTGTAATTAAGTATGTGCGGTGCGTTGTTGCCACATTTCGCTTCTTTCGGAAAAACTATGATCAGAGGTCGAAATCTGTACGGGAAATCAGTGTAGATAAGCATGTGCGTGCAGCGGTACCAGATTTGGCTACTATCGGAAACGCTTCGCTACTTAAAACTACTCGTTTAACTACTTGCGACTTTTCATACTACTGTTAGGTTACTTTTTGCTCTTTAAAAATCGTGTAATATTGAATATTATATTATTAATATTATATTATTTTCGTACAGTTTTTTGCTAAAATCGCGATTGTTTTTTTGTCAGCGTGACGCGTTAGGCTGTAAACATTTTTAAGTTGGTGTTTATTCTCCCTGATTCGAAAACATTATTTAACGACAACAATAATAATTACTTTCTTTTTCTACTTGTCTTGAATTGTGAATTTATTGAGAGTAATTGAACAATAATCGGCGGCGAGTTGCTTAAGTCAAATAAAGGAGTGAAACTGCGACGCAAATTTTTTCATCGAACATCGGCAATATATAATAAAATATTAAAAACAAAACCCTGAACAATTTGTTGTAGTTGGCCCGCGACAGATCAACAATGCTTCTTTAGGCATTGTAACTTGCACAATTTCGTATGCCTATGGCACACATACAGTGAGTTTGAGCGGCGTTGAGAATCATAACGTCACTAAAATCGAGAAACAGTTAATTGTGCGCGGATTTTTCTATTTTACTTGCCGTCGGAAATTTTCGTGTTAATATCATACGATTCATATTATAAGGATAGAAACGCTACTTTTTCCCGAGTCGTGGTGATATATGAGATTAGTAATTAGTATATGTATTAAATCAATTTCTAACTAAAATAAATTTTATTTTATTGCAGACTTAGGAATTTTTCTAACGGTTTCATCTTAAAAATAATCTGAGTGGCAGCATTGCGATAGATTTGTCGAGTTCGCAAAATGGCAAAAATACGGATCTATATTGTTGACGCAAACGCGGTTTAAATTGAAGACAATTAAATTATAATAAAGCAAGACCTTTTAAATATGGCCGTTTCGGTCATGGATTGATTATCTCGCACAGCAGATAAATAATTATTATCCGTCGAAAAAGTCGTCCCGCGGGGATTTCGAGGCGATAAATATGTATTTTTGATTTACTGATATATATACTTCATATGTATTTAATTGTACTCTACGAGATTTTTATTACAGATCTTGAGATTCCTCTAACGGCGATAACGAACTTGTAAGATCACAAAAAAGTATCCACGCTAAATACAATCACGCATGTCTATCTCATATTTAATACACCAACAGATTGATCGGTATTTTAGACAAGTAATGTTTATATTTTGACACAAGAAGACGGAACCGCGAGTTACGTTGGACACAATTATATCAATATAGAAGAAAATTTTATAGATTCTCGTAGCTGTCCTGAATTGAATATTTTACTGTATACGCTGAAAAAGTCGGCTCCTTTTATGAACGCGTAATCGCGGCGACTGTTTCAGAATGAAATGGAAATTTCCGATTTTTGAACCCCCCTTTTGAAAATCCTGGCTGTGCGCTTGACTGGCTGGCTACCTCACGGAAGCCAAGATTTTCATCATTTCAGCGTGAGCCACATGTAGCCCTAACAAAGATGATGGGATAAATTTTATCTTATTTAGTATTGTCGCGTTCACATTGTTTCTGGCTACAAAACTAATCGTGAGTGACCTTCACACCTATGTCCTAAGTCGTGCAAAGACATGTCGAAGGTAGAAATAGTAGTAAGCTAATTTCCATGCACGTAATCTTATAAAATATGTTTGTTTTTTATCCGTTTACTATTCAAACCAGGTAGTTGACTATGCAAACCAAAACATAAAAATGTTTGGCACGCGAAGGTGCTCATTATTCATAAAATAATAACTTCACTACTACTGAGGCTTGCAGGTTCTGGAAAGAATCAAACGGACGCATGTCTTGTGAGTTCAAAAGGTTGCCGACCCTTGGCCTATGTTATCAAAATCTCAAATTTCACTATGCGATGTCACCGACGCGTCGCATTGTTTCCATTCAATTTGAAAAAATATGCCACTACGTCAATTTTGTGACCTGAAACTTGTCGGTAGGCTATTTACTTTCTGAACTAGTGATGTTCATCAGACATTTATATTGAGTAACAAACTCAGTTGATTGGACCGTAAATATATACTAATTGGACAAATAAAAGACTTATACTTTTTTCCAATGTTTTTTTTTCTGGAATTTGAAAATAACGTATTGAACTAGAATAGAATACAGAAATCAGCATAAATAATTAGGGCGGTGCGGCGTAGATTTGTGACTGATTGTCAGTCGACTTTTATGGCCCGCACCAACATCGTGCATACCGAGGTTCGAGCAAGCTGTGAAGTAATATTTTTGAGGCAGGCGTATTCATACTATTGATCCTCGTAAAATGTTACGTTCTTCAGTGACACGGTCGGTTAGACACCGTCGTTGTGTATAATATCCACCAGTGACTGCGTCGCGTTATCAATATTAGTCTTCCGGACATGTTTCTCGGGTACAATGGAGTTGGGAGTAATTGATTTCGCAAAATGTAATGTAAACTTCTCTCAGCCTACGTACGAAGATTTAAAAAAAGTTGGTGAAGAAATTTATGAAGCATTTTCAACGATTGGTTTTGTGTATTTAAAAGATACGGGAATTTCAGAGTACGTGTACTGCTTTCTGAATATTGATTAGGCATATTTGTAAACTTAATAATGTATAGTCATATATCAAATGCACAGATTGACAGATGAGTTAACGTGCAATTTCCGTTTAATTGACGTGGCTGCATATTAGAAGCAAGATAATTATCCGCAGTTTGAATGTTATTTTGTCTTGAACTTTTGTTGTTCGATAATTGATTGGCTGTGAAGTAGATGAACATGCACATGATAAGAACGAATAAAAAAAACAGAGATGAGCTAAACACAGCAATACCTGCGTAATTGACTAGTTGCCTGTACATTGACGGGCCATCAAACAACGCACATATTTTTAGAAACCATAAATTGGAGACAGTCATTTCACAAAGGCAAATGATATTCACTTGATTTTTAGATACATGTAAGACATTGTGCTGTGATGTGACTCATAAAATAAGGTGTAACTTTTTATTCCATTGCAAAATACTATATTTGAGTCTTCATACTATGAAGTATGAACGCATGTGAAAAATATGCGATTTTGGCAATTCTATTTACTTATATTTATAATTTAATGTTTTAGTGATGAAGCGACTGAAGTTCACAAAGTATCGAAGGAATTCTTTGATCTTAATGATGATATTAAGCTCAAATATACACTTAACCAAAACTTGTTTGGATATGTTGCCCCGGGCGTAGAGAAGTATGCAAGTATTTTATTCGTCATTGTTAGTTCCTATAGTCATAATTCGCAAGACAAAAGAAAATTATTTGGCGTACTTTCGGTATCTGCTTTGAATTAAACAAATAAATCTTCGTTCAATGTTATTGGTTGTTTCTTCGCGCGAACATGCTATCAAACGAGTTCAATACAATCAGATACAATTACACGTGTTGTCAAGATACTTTGCTTTTCTTATTGTACATAGGATACCAAAAATTCATTGCAAACGGGCCTAAACGTCTGACGCAACGCCAATACGGGTTGTTGGTTCGATGACAGTTTAAATATTTTGTCTAGTATTACTGGTCTCGATTTAGACCTTAAATTCCATTTTGCTAAATTGCTGTTGGCTGGCAATTGACATGAGATGAAACTATTTTGGCTGAGTAGCGCCCAGTAAACGGTCCTTGCCAAAACGTGCAAAAACGGTGAAAAGTCGCCAAAAACCATTAGAAGCTTGTCAAAACGTGCAAAAAGGTACGTGCAAAAAGGTACGTATGTACGCGGTGAAGGCATCGCGCCGCTGCTGTGACGAAAATATTTGAACAATTGTCTGTTTTTACATTTGTGCTGTAAGCAAAAGTGTTCGGAAGAATCTAATTGATTCATCTTTCAATCGCAGATTTAAATTTTCTACAACTAACTTGAGTGATTTAACTTTAAATCATATTTTATATTTCAAATAAATACTTTTTTGGGTTCATTTTCACACTTGGGTTTCTGTATTAAGGTCATGTCAGATATACCTTAAAAACGGTGACCGTACATTTGAACCCACGTACATTTGAACCCATGCGTATATCCACGGGTTCAATCTATATGCGGGTGCTAAAACCCATGGGTTAGGGTTAGTATGGGTTTAACTATCCGTGAAACAAAAAAAATTCCATAGGTGCAATAGCATACAGGTGCAATTGTCATGGGTTCAAATGTACGTGGGTTCAAATGTAATGGAACCCTTAAAAACATTTATATATTTGTGTGTATATTTGTGTCTTTTAATCCCAATAACATTTTACATCCTGATTAACTGTTTTTTCCAATGCATTTGCAGTAATGACCCGACAAAGCCTGGAGAATATAAGGAATCTTTTGATGTTTCGGGACCAGGCCTTGCTTCGCTGGATTCAAAATGGCCTGATGAGGATCTTCCTGGATTTTCAGACACTCTGAAGAAATTTACAAAAAAGCTTGGACAATTGGCTATGAGAATTATCGAAGCGCTTTCGATCGGTATGAAAATTAAGGCGAGTGACTTGTGATAATGAACGTGTTCTGTCGTGTTTTCTCCGCTTATTACATGACTTATTTTTCAGGATGTGGCATATCTTCAAAAACGCCATTCCCGAATCAACAATGTGAAAAATATAACAACTCTGAGATCTTTATACTATCCAGTGATACCAAAGGACTACGTAATAAAAGACGGAGAAATGAGATTGGGGGAACACACCGATTTCGGATCCTTCACGATTTTATTTCAAGATTTCGTAGGCGGTCTTCAGGTGATGATTTGATATTATTGAATATGTCTATATTCTGATTCCGCTATTGCTTCGCTTATAAACTGACACCCAACAATCTTGTCCAACATGCACACAGATTTCGATTTTTAATATTAGAAACCAATTCATCGAAGTTTTTAAAGTTTCATTAATTTCTCAATTTCAAAACTTTTTGCTTGTTCTATCAACGAGTAACAATTATAAGAATGGGTCAAGGTTAAATTGCCTTTTTCTATCAGGTTATGCGTCAAGATGGAACATTCATTGAAGCAACACCTATCCCAGGCACTGCTCTTGTCAATATTGGAGACTGTTTGCAATTTTGGACAAAAGGGAAATTGAAATCCACGGTAAGGATCCAAGAAACCCTTTATTACAGCATTTATTTAGAAAGATATTGAAAACAGATATCGCTGGAAATTTTTGTACGAAGTTATACCAATTTCAACTACGAAGTTATAACAATTTCATCTGACTTTCACTACAAAATTCTCACTCGTTTTACGTTACTCTCTGGCTAGCAAAATCGATTATTTCCGTGCTCCAAATAACACTCTATTGTTTGATCAGATTCACCGAATTCCGATGCCAGAAGTAGACGGACCAATGAACAAGAAAAGAAGTTCGCTGGTATATTTTGTAATGCCTGATCATGAAGCCGAGTTGTCAGAAATTGAATGTGAAGGCGTCGTTTTATCGCCAGATACAAACGACACACCCACAATTGCACTGGAACATTTGCAGAAGAAATATGCGGAAGTAAACATGCCTATACCAAATTAGGAGTTTGCACAGAAGAAGAGAATGCTTTGCATTAATTTTTTGTTATACCTGATTTATGGAGACAATTGTACACACCAGTGTGGCCCAAACCCTGACATACTGGCCAGATGCTCACTGCAAGGAAAACATATTTTTTAGCGCTTTAGGGTATTTATTAGGGCATTATTAGACCTCAACTCAGTTTGAATAGACGAAGAATATTTTCGAGAGGGAAAAGTGTTCCGATCCCTATCACGACGTTCTAACCATCAAATGATTCGAATATTTCACTCGGTCTAATGTGTAATTGAAAAGGAACCCGGAAGGTAATTCAGCATCGTCTCAAAGCTGCGACGTAACCTGCCAAGATTATTGTAACCAGTGCTGGATTACCCATCTAAGCAAAATAAGCATGTGCTTAGGGCACCAAGGGATAGAAGACACTGCAGAAAAGGCACCAAATTCTTCAGTGCTAAAAGCCTCTAAAATGCATGATCTTGCCCGGAAACTAATAACCCACGAGCCATGCATTCTGTCGACACAAATACGCGTGGTAAATTATCCGATTAGATCTAGTTTTGATTAGCATTTTCCCGACTTCGTTAAATATCAAATTTGTTCCGTTTTTTGCAACACTGATTCCTCCATATTGCAGTCAATCGGGTATTTTTAAGATCGTTGGTAAAAAATTCCAATATCTGAAATAGAATCCCAAAAATGCATTTATTTCAGTAGAATTGGAAACTGATTGACCATACTTTGCATTGATTAGCTTAAATTTTATTATAATCCGGGTGAAGATGGCGTGTAGCCACTTTATTTCTTGGAACATCAAAATAATTTGATTCAATTAGCATTGATCATATTGTAAATACTTATACTTCAACAATGTTTTTTCATATCAAGTTCTTTGACATGAACTACTTTGTGCATTTATATCAATATCCAACATAATAACAACCTCAACCTCAAGATATCTCAGAAATAACTATATTTACTCTTCATACATTAATAAATATTCTTTATTTGGCAGTCAAATTCATAAAGACAACACGTCATTTTTACTTTCTCGGTATGAGTTACAGTTATTCTTCTCCGAAAACTTGGAAGGGAGATCATGTAGACACTTCATTTCTTGGAACATCAAAATAATTTAATTTATGTGAAAATACCGAAAAACATAATTAATTAATACTAAAATTACAATTATAAATTTCGTGAAATTCATGTTCGGAAGTTATTGGGTTTCGGACCAGCCAATTTAAAACTAAGATTTCATTTTCCTGTTAAAGTTCAACCAATTTAAATTCAAAATTACGACTACTCTATACTGCCGGAGGCTATTGTCAGGTTGGCATCTTGGGACAAAACAGTTGTCGGCCAAAACTCGTGTCACAATCAACAATTATTGTGTCGTGAGATCTTATACATACAGACCAGTGGCCTCGGCATAGTTTCAGAATGAATAGAAAAGTACATCACACACATAATTTCCTGCGTTTAATGCCTCGATTCTCGTCAGTAATGGTTGCTCAGGGAAAGCGTAGAGACATGGTCAAGCAACCAGGTCAGGTGAAAGAATGGGTTCGAACCCCAAAGGGTATACCGTGTAGTAGGATAGGACCAGTAGACAGGACAAGTTATCGAGGGAAGATGAGGAGCCGGCGGACAGGAGAGAGCAGCAAAGACGCAATAAGTTAGCGAAGCTAGCAGCAGGCCATTCATGAAAAACAGAAAAAGTGATCACCAGGGAGCAGAACTCGACGAGGCGCGGCGTCATGGAACACCAGCAGTCAAGAAATAGAGCCGACAGACGGCAGAGCAAGTAGCGGAAACCCAGAGCAAGGGCAAACCGAAACCAGCAGCGGCCCCAAGCACAATGTGAAGTCAAGGTAACAGAGAAAGAGTGAGTGTCGTGGGAAACGAGGCACGCTGCCAGGTCACACCAGCAGTCCAGGGAGGTGACGAGTACCAATTATACCAACGAGTCACCGCGTCAGGTCACACACATTCAGGGGATGCGGATGCCAAGGAAAAAGATACTGAAACAGAGGCACCGAGTCAGGTCATACATACCAGCAGTCAACGACGGGAACTGGCAGACAGGATTAGTAAGCACGCCAGATAGGGTAGCAGCGGAAAGAATAACAAAAACGCTGAAGCCGTAAAACTGAAATGAAAGTAGTCGATAGGAGAGCAAAAGTAATGACAATGAGTGGTGGGGGACCGAACCCAAAACGAGGCACGGCGTCGGACGGGAGCCGACAGGCAGGGAAAAAAATTTGAATTGGGCCGAAAACTGAACCAGGCAGGGGTGGACCGGCACGGCCGCAAGCCCTTAAAAAAAGTAGTGGGCCGCGAAGCCAGCAAGCACGTGAGTCGAATATGGAATTATAGAGATGATCAAGACCGACCGAAGTTTGAAAATAAAGCAGTCAGGGACAACATAGAAGAGCAGCGAGACAGGGAAAACTTGAATGGAAAATTAGCGAGGTAGCCGAGCAGGCAGAGAAATCAAGTCCATTGACAATTAGATAGATACGATGCCAGCTGTAGACAAAATAAACGAGGTTATGTTAAAAAATATAACTCAATGAGGTTTTAGTTGCAGCAGCAGTCAATGAAAATTAGAGAGATGCAAGCTGGGATAAACCATTAAAGCAAAGTAAGCACGTGCTGCTCAGTATGGCACCAAGTGAAAGGGGGCACCAGATTAAAATTTCTATATACGATTTTCAATGGCGTATCAATATTGTCGATGTCGAAATAAAGTTTTCGAGTATCATCTTAATCCTTTATAATATTGTTTGTGAGTATGACTCTGTTTCCAGTGAACAAATGATGTGAATTAATCAAAACTTGGGCCTCAATTAGTTATGAATACTGAAACTTTCAGATAACATAGAACACCAGGTAGGCTAATATTATTTTTATACATAAAGCACCAAAATCTTAAGAGCGTGGTGCCTCTAAAAAGCATGAACCGGCCCTGAATGTAACCCATTACACCAAGCTTGGTAGAGATTATCTTCTACCTAATTCCAATTGCATCCATGTGTCAAATTGGTTTAACCCTCTTTGCACAAAGTTTTTTTTCAGTTTTGAAAAACCCTATAAATGTCTCCAACGCCTAACAATTTCTTGTGATACGTTAAATACTGGTCAACAATCTATTGCAGTTTGTGCGCCGCACATACGAGGTATTAAACAGAAACAAAATCCGAATGGGTGATTTATATTGATCATTTAAATACTTGTATGCCACATTAGAAAAGTGTCAAACGCTACGAACAATAAAAAGGAAATTATCCGTTTACCGGGTCGTGTTTGCTTCAACCGTTATTGCTTGCTTTTATATTGCTGTAACTGTATTAGGATACTCTTATATTAGCTTAGCTTAGCTTTTTTCTGTAGGGTACCTATTATATTTAGCTGTTCGGGAATGATTTTAGTAGCACTATAGCACAGTGAGCTAATTTAACTGCCTTTAGTTAACAGTTGTACTGTTTAAACTAAGAATTGTTTTCAATCTTACCCGAACACCAAAATTAGAACCATGCCAAGGTAAAAAAAAGCGCGACAATAAGACGACCTGCTACAATGACATTACAGCGTAAACAAGTTTATAAATGAGCCCTTGTCAGAAGAGGGATGAAAAGCTAACGATTAATTAAAGGACTAATTTCTGCAACTCGGCATGGGTGCAGTATAACCTGGATTTTGTCTGACTGTCATACTGTTTTGAACTGTTCACTTTGTATACAAGAATATATGATATCAACGCATGTCAATGCCCCCATCATATCAGAACTAGGCAGCGTAACGCCAGACAATTAAACCACAGTCTATCCAGGGGAGGTCGCTACGCTACCCGCGAGGGGAAATGTATAGAAATATTTTTAGTAAATTAAGAAGCAGATGTTTGTTTGAAGTTTGTTGGAGGACCCGGGTCGTTGCGCCGGACGAATGGCGGGAAATTCGTCCGGCGCTCTGCCCCCGACCCCTTCAGTCCATTAAGAAGTTCAAATACCACGTAATAAACTGATCACCCCTAACCGGAGTCGAATTTTTCCAATTTTTAGGTCCGTGATCACTCAACCGTGACGAATTTTTTTGTAAATAAACTAGACCTCAACTACCTTGTATGACCCGAATATGGCACCTCTACCTCCTACCATTCTCGAGATATAACGTAAAATCACTGGAGCGTGACTGAGGAGATGAGGAAATAAAATTTCTCCCAAAATAGATTCATATAATTTTTCTTAACATGCCCATGCCTTTACTTTCTTAATAGGTCCTTTCAGAGGCCTGCAATAAGCCAAAATCACTAGACCATGACTGGGGAGTGAGAGAAAAAAAAATTCTTGAAAAAAGCATTAAACTAAACTTTCCCAACATACCTATCTATTTTATTTCTCGATAGCTTCATTTTTATGTGCGCAACCTTCTTACGCCACTGGAGGGCGATTGGGAGGGGGATGTCCCAAGATTCAGGTGGTGAAATATTCTATATATTAGTCCCTTTGGGATTTAAGCATCACTTTGCCCAAAAACCAATTCCAAGTGCTCCTAATAGCCCAAAAACCATATTACCTAAGTGGGCGTGGCTTTCCATACGTTTTTTCATCACTGGGGGGGTGGTGGCACTGCCCCCACCCCCAATTATACTTGGAAAAATTCCCAACACTCGGGCAAACGCTTTCGGACCCCGGAAACAAAGCTAAACGTCCTCTAAACCCCAAACTCACTCTTGCGTGACTTGATGGACAGCCGATTGACCAATCAGCAGCCTTGGGCCCCTAAAATCCCGTTTTGGCCCACTTCCTTTGACCCGATCGCTCCCAAAAATTTTCTGTGTTCGTTTGGTAACTACCTCCCGCTACATGCCAAGTTTCGGCCCGATTGGCCCGCCAGTTTTCTGGGAAATGGTAATTCATAGGGCCTTAGCCACTAGACTTCGTCACATTATTTTTGCTCTACGAGCAAAGGCTTTCGACCATTACTGTGCTTTCGCACTAAAGTGCTACAAGTTTGCCTGACCATCCAGGGGAAGGTCGCTACGCTACCCGCGAGGGAAATGTAAGGAAAAGATTTGAGTATAAAAAGCGGATGTTATATAATGAATTTGATGGTTGCACCGGGGTCGTTGCGCCGGACGAATGGCGGAAATTCGTCCGGCGCACTGCCCCCAGCCACTTTAGTCCATTAAGTAGTTTAAATAATACGTCATAAACTGATCACTCTTAATGGAAATCGATTTCTATCAATTTTAGGGTCCGTGTTCACTCAACCGTGACGAAATTTTTTTGTCATTATCTTCACTTTATATACCTTGTATGGCCCAAATATTACATCCCCATCTATTACCATTCTCGAGAAAAGACCTAAAATCACTGGAGCGTGACTGACATGTGGGAGAAAAAAAATTCTACCTAAAACTGATTCGAATGATTTTTCCGATCATGCCCATGCCTTCAGATTCTTGATAAGACCTCTCTGAAGCCGGCTAAAGGCCAAAATCACTAGACCGTGACGGAGGCATGGGACGAAAAAAATTCCTCGAAAAAACTATTAAACTAATTTTTCTCAACCTACCTATGTACTTTTTCTCTCAATATCTCAAATCTTAAGCGCAACATTCCGAACTCACTGGACCGTTACGGGGAAGGGGAATCCCCAAAGTTCGGGTGGTAATATATTCTATTAATTAGTCCCTTCGATATTTATGCATCACTTTGCCCAAAAACCGATTCCAAGTGCTCCTAATCGCCCCAAAACCATATTACCTAAGTGGGCGTGGCTTTTCACACGTTTTCTCACCACTGGGGGGGTGGTGGCAGTGCCCCCACCCCCAATAGTACTTGTATAAATTCCCAATACTCGGGCAAACGCTTTCTGGCCCCGGAAACGAAGCTAAACGGCCTCTAAACACCAAAATCACTGTAGCGTGACTTGATTGACAGCTGATTGACCAATAAACAGCCTTGAGCCCCTAAAAGCCCGTTTTGGCCCTTTTCCTCTGGCCCGATCGTTCC